TCCACAGTAGGTGTTCTGGCTGTGCCTAGATGTCCCCGAAGCCTCATGCGGTCCTGGGTGGGGCTCTTCAGAGGAGGCTGGATCCAGAGTGTGTGACGCTGGGATTAAGGGCGTGTGATTCCTAAGTCAGTCCTCTGATTGGTTTGGCATAGTTCTGGGTGTGGATAATGGGAAGGCAGCACCCTAGATGTGAGTGGCACCCCCTCTGAGGCGACGCAGCCTGGACAGAATATAAGGGACAGAAACAGGGCTGCTGTTGTCGCTGGCTGCCTCACCCATCATGAGCTCTTTCTCCTCTGCAATGCCCTCCTGCCTCGGAGACAGCTGACTATGGACTGAACCTCTACAAACTGTGAGCTGCAAAAAATGTTTTCTGCTTTAACTTTGGGTGTCAGGATTTTGTCTCAGTGATGAGAAAAGCAACCAAGATAGTAGGTTGAATCATTTTTCCAGACATCCAGGAAGAGCTAAATATGTCTATTCTCTTAATACCGCTTGCGGCTCTTTTATATCAGATGGCAACCAGCCCTCTTTGCATGCGTCTCTTTTTCTCGAATGAGGAGGCAACTTGGAAAAAACACACAGCATAACTTTCAACAAGTCTTGCTTCGATGTTTCCCCTACAGACATTTCAGTTGTCTCAGGGAGAAAAGCTTCCGATCTTTTAGAGGGATAGGCTTGTCCTCTTATGCTCTGCAAAGGATCCCCACAATGCCAGGCAAAGCAACCCAGAGGCGTGGAGGAGTGAGACCCGCTGTTTCCTGGGCTAAGCCTCCGTCCAGCAGGGTCTCAGAAGCAGCCAGGGGGTGAGAAGCCGCTTAGGTACTGCTGAGGCTTGTGGGGGATGGGCACCAAGTATCACGGGACAGAGAGGGGCCAAGCACGGACAGGCACATCACAGAGAATCACATTCAGCAGATAAATGTTTTTAAAAGTTCTCAGCAGAAGATGTGTTTTGAATTTTCATACTCATAGTAGCCCCAAAATAGAGACACCTGAATGCCCATCAACTGCTGTACACCCAAATGAGGCATATCTATGCAGTGGAATATTATTCAGCCTTAAGCAGGAATCAAGTGTTGATACATGCTACCATGTGGCTGAATCTCAAAAATATTACAGAAAGGAAAGGAGCCAGGCACCAAAGAGCTTCTGCTTGTGACTCCATCTGTAGGAAACGTCCCAGAGGTAAATCCAGAGAGATCGAAGCGGAGGGTGAGTGGTGCTCGCCTTGGACAGGGTGGTATGGGGTAGGGGGTGGCGGCTGAGCAGCATGAGATGCTTCTTGGGGGTGCTGAACACGTTCTAATTAGACTGTGATGGTGGTTGTACAACTCTGTGAACACACTAAACACCCCTGACTGGCATACGTCAGCCAGGTACACGGTGAGTATGCGATTTTTACCGCAATGAAACGACTTGTTAAGTAAGAAAAAAGAAAAGGAACCGGTGTTTGAGATGGGCTTTGGAGGCCGGGCTGCACATCCACAGCGGCCTGGTGCCTTTGCCGTGAAACCTGCGCTTCGGTGAGAACTGGGTGGTGGTGACCCGGAGGCCAGGCCGCCTCCCGCCCAGGTAGCGGGAATCGAGGTGCTGCGGTTGCGGTGCGGCGACAGTGCTGAAGCTTGGGATGCCACAGAGCTTTTGAAGAAGTGACCAGCCTTTCCCTTCTCCCTCCTCCTCCACAAGCTGCCAGCACCATCCTCCTCAGGCGCAGGTCACAGCAGGGTGCCCTTCCCAGCGCCTGGCCTCCCCACAGCCTGCAGGCTCCTGTAGCTGGGGTGGCGGCGAACGACCAACTCTCTTTCTCAAATGCAGCAGGCGTTTTCTCCATGTGCTATATCCGTGCTCATCCCTGGGCCTAGAAAGTCTTCTCTGGCTAAACAATAATCAGGTCTGGGATCTTAAACAAAATTAGCTTCCCATGACGGTGACCCTAGTTCTCCGGTGGGGACTTGGTCACGCTTTTTTTGTCCAGCCCACAGCACTTGTCTGGTGCCTCTGCTATGGGGTTTGCTTCTTTTTGTTTCTTAGTGTTTGCTCCTGTTCCTTGGACTAAAATGTAGGCCTCCTAATGGCGGGAGTAGTTGTTCACACCCTTTGATATTTATCGGGTGGGGCTGTGCACAAGCTGCAGACTCATTGTGGGGACACACATTTAAGGGACCTTCCTTTAGAAGTTTACAGTCCGTGCTATCAACACGGACGGTAGGAGATTTTATCCTAAACATAACAAAAGCTCGTACAAACCGGTAAGAGAAGAGAAGATACCCCTCCAGAAAATAAAGGAAATTTCAGGCGCAACTGGTGAGAGTATCTGTTTTCACCACTTTTCTGGGGGACCGTTTGACAAAGCACATTAAAAATACAACATACACTTGTATTCAGTGATCACACGCAGGAGCCTCGCTCAAGGAAGCAGTCGGAGAGGTGCACAAGGCCAAGTTCAGTGCCGCTAGCGCCAGAGGGATTCCTAATATTAAAAAGTGGAAATGGCGCATCCATAGGATGGAATATTTAACAAAAATTAAGATCATGTTTTCAAAAAGTACTAGTGGCACAGAAAAAAATCGAGGATAAAGTACAGAAAGAGCAGAATACACACGAACAACTCCCACTCAATTCCAATGTATCTGAGGTGGTATTTTAGGTTACTTTTATTTCATTTCTTAAAATTTTCAGTTACGGTTATGTATTTATTTTAAAATTAGGGGAAATGCTGGGGATATAACACATTGGTAGTGTTAGCATGCACAAAGTCCTGGGTTTGGTGGCTAGCACTGAAAAAAAATAAGTAAAATTAGAAAGATCTAAGTTTGTTAAAGAATAATTCTAAGCCTAAAAGAAAGCTAAGGCGGATATGAAAAGGGGTAGGGCTGGGCAGCAGTAAGTGGGCACCTGTATTCTGTTCTCTGTCTCAGTGGTGGCCATGGCCAGTTGATAGGCTGGAGGACTGACACAATGGTCAGTAACAACACTTAATATCACCCATCCAAATAGCTATGGTCAAAGACAGAGACTGACAAGTTTCTTAAAGCCTGGGCAAAGTGTTTTTAAAAATGACATCCAATGAACAGAACTGCTTGGAAACTATTCACAGAGGAAATGAAATAGACCAACCTACTCTGAAGGCTTTTAAAATTATTGTGCTTAAGAGCTAAAAAGAATCTGAAAGATCAGAAATATCACCAGTGGAGAAAATAAGGCTCAGAAGTATTTATCCACTTACCGAAAGTCCAGTGATATCACGGGTTGAACTGCACCCAAATTCATACGTCCAAGTCCTAACTTCCAGTGCCCCAGAGCACGACCTTATTTGGAGATTGTCACTGCCGATGTAATCAGTGAAGATGAGGTCACTCAGATGGCCCCAGTCCAAGGGGCTGGCTGAGCAGGGCTGGTGTCCGCCTAAGCAAGGGAAGTTGGACGCAGAGGGGCACAGGGGAGAGTGCCGCGGGAACACGCAGCTGGGAAGGCTCACAAGCCAAGCAGCACATCAGGGAGCCACGGCACTGGGAGAGCCTCAGAAGGGCCACCGCCGTGACACCTTGTTTGGGACTTGTGGGATCCACACCTGTGAGACAGCACATTTCTGTTGCTTGAGCTTCCTGGCCTGCGGCTTCGCCTGGCTGCCCTGGCCCATGGGTGCAGGCGGGAAGCAGAACCAGAACCTAGGGGTGCTAACTCTGCCCAGCACCCAGGCACGGGAGCACCCTGCAGGTGGCTCAGAGGGCTTTCTGGGTACATGGACTTTGCACTCTGTCTGCTGGAGGTATTTGCGATTCTCAGGACCAGGACAGAACCTACTCTGCGTTCCCCCAAGGTCAACCTGGAACTTGGTTGGAACTGGAGGCAATTTGACCCCTGGATTACACGCGTGGGTAGAAATGGGTCCTAAGTCCTCTTGCCTGAGCATGAGGCCTGCAGGGTGGCAGAACCTGGGGCTACAGGCTGCAGGTTTACAGGACCCATGCTGCCTGTGAGTGTACAATTTGCTATAGCAACTGACACGGCAATTCCGTGACCAGCCCCTCGTCCCAGGCACTTGGCTTCCTTCTCACATTCCCCCTCTGGGCCCAGCTGTCTGAGGCAGGAATGCTGGGTCCTGGACTTTTAATTCCCTCCAGATGGTGTGTTGAGTCCTGTTACAGCTTAGGCAAACCAAAGAGATGTGAGGGATGGTGCAGCTTGATAAAGCGGGTGTGAGCCAAGACCAAGCCTGGGAGGACAGGCAGTGACCATCCAGCCATCCACGGGCAACTCGCCTCCTGCGAAACAGGGAGACGAGGACAAAGTCAGAAGCCAAGGCACCGGCCCCGTGCACAGAGACTGGAGGTTTCTTGCCCTGTCCATCCATCGAATCCTGCTCTGTGTCATAACCATCTTTTAAGCAACTAGCTGGGAGGTCAGAGCAGTTTATGAGGTTTGTGCCTAAAAGTTACGTTGGGATGTTAACTTTTTAGGATGAAACTAAACCAAACCACACTGCAGGGCTCATTCGTTTTCTTTTGTTGTGCTTGGCTTTGTTTTGTGTACTGGGGACGGGAACTCAGGGCCTCATGCCTGGCACACAAGTGTCCTACTATCGAGCTACAACCCCAGCCCCATTTCTTTACCTTGAAGATAGGGAGGGAGATGAAGGCTGTGTGTAGAGCTAGAACTCTCAGATTTCCAGGTTCTGGGTTGTCCCCGACATGACCCTGTCCCCACCCAGGCTGCCTCCTCTGCAGGGAGGATTCCTCCTTGGAAGGCTTTGGAACATGTAGCCCAGTCCTTAACCCAAGGCTGAGTCACTCTAAGAACCACCTCCGGGACCCAGCCAGGACTCAGATCAACTGTCTTCAGACCCAGAGGGCCTTTGAAATGCAGTGTTTCTGCAGAGCAGCTTTGAAAGCAAAATGACTCCTCTGGAAGCCGCTGCCCTCAGATGTATGAGGCAAAAAAACCAAACCAAAAAAACAACGGCTTTCAAACTCCACTGTTTTGTACATCGTTTGTGGTTTTATAGTCCTTTAATCCTTCTTCCCCCGTGCACTCCTACAACTATTCAAAGATCTGGGCATCAGCCGTGCCAGCACACAGTTGCACTTCTAAGCAGCAAACTTGTAAAACCAGGCCCTGGACCAGAGCCATGAGCTCTTTGTAACATCTCCCAGAGCAGAGGGTGACATGATAGACTGAACCAGGTCCAAGTAACCATTACTGTGTTTTGTGTCAAAGAGCTGCTTTGTTAAAGCCCTACGACTCTAAATCAGGCCAGCGGAAGGTTGTTTTCCTTGCGGTCTCCATACCCACGTCGACATAACCCAGCCCCGTGCTGCACCCCGGCTGCCCAGCATCTTGTGGGCGGTCAAGCCAGCAGCTGGGCTCTCACAGGCCGGGGGACAGCGCCACACAGGGAGGGGCTGTGACTGTACAGAGACTGAAGCGAGTGTCCTCCAGCACCCTGCAGCTTGGGCACCGAGACTGGGCCCAGGGCGTTCACTAGGTTCACCCAGCCCTCCCCCAGACCCTCAGTACCCAGCACCGCTGGCAAGAGGTTTTTGAAGTTTGGTTTTTGTTTATCAAAATCTCCATTTCAAAGGAAGATGCTGGCTTGCCGGGCTGTCTTCTGAGAGGCGGCGGCAGGAGGCCCAGCTTCTCCGCCCCTCACGCTGGTGGTGGGAACTAGGTGGAAGAGGGGACTTTGCGAAATGGTCCAGCGAACGTCCAGCCACACGGAGTCCTTGGCCCGCGCCCTTAACATCTGAATTTGTACTAGTGATAGGGACTCAGTAGCTGCTTCTTGATTATGGGATAATGTTGATGTGAAGTAACATAAGCACTCATCCTGGTCCCCGGGGTGTCTGCCAGGACGGCTACCTTCTCCTGGGAACTTCAGCCCCGGGCACATCCTACTTTGGGGAATTCCTCGGGGGCTCAGGCTGGTGAAATGAGCAGAAGCCGGGAGACGCAAATTGCTGTCATTAGGGCGCGTGTGACACACAACCAGCCCCACACTCCTCCCTCGTGAGCAGAGCCAAGTGTGGGAGATAATGATCTAATCAAAGGAAACTCGTAGACAGTAACACTGTGCAGACACAAACAGACAGAAAGGCTGTGCTGTCGTCTTCTTTCTCCGTCCCCTAAAGAAAATAAAACCCACGTGGGAAATCTAAGCTAGACTTCCAAGTAGTTTGCATTCAAATTAAGGCTGAAAATCTAATGCTTTTGGGGTCTGGTATTGAAAAATGTATAATGTTCTGAAGTCAGGATGTTTATCATTCATTTTATCCCTCATTTCCCCCAGGAGAATCGGATCATTCTCTGTTGCAAAGCGTCCTGGTGACTCCGCCAGAGAAGAAAAGTGGTTAAAACAACAGGTGGCCTGCGGGATTTGCCTGTAACTAAATACTCCGGGAGGCAGGAGCTAGCTTGCAATTTGACCAGAATGGAAGCTCCAGTTTGACTGCACCCATCTTCCACCTTTCTTCATTTCTTAGAACCTTCCTTTGGGTTCTGCTTTCTTCTCTTCTTGCTTTCCTTTTAGCCTTCACTTGAAAGCAGTTTCTTTCAGAACCCTTAAAAAAAGGAAAACATGCAAATATGTGGTTGCTTCTGGAGTATTCTCCAAGCCTGGCTCCAGGGAGTCCCAGCCAGTCCCTGGTCCCCAGGAATATAAGTACTGAGACCAGGCAGGACCAGGTCTGCCATCTTGAAGTATCAGGACCTGCCCTAGGGTACCACACAGGTCAAAGAGTCAACCTGAATGCTTCAAGTGGGTGTGGCTTACTCTGTGTTAATAATGTAAGTGTCCTTTAATGACACCAAGGAGGAGGAAGTGGGGGACAAGGAAAGAGGGTGAAGGAGCCCCTGTTCCATTACAGTTGGTTGAGCAGACTGGAGGGACATGGACAGTCTCACACTTGGCCCTCTGTCTTGGAGGAGCTGCAGCAAGCAGTCTCTTTCCCTCCCCTACACTGTATGCAAACTATTCGCCCCAGGGGCAGGTGTAGCACTCACACCCATCATCCCAGCAATGGACTATGGATCAGTCAAAAATCTAGAAGCCCGCCCCATGACTGCATGAGGATTTGGAGGGACATTCAGACACAAACCTCTGGACATCCAGACACCCCCTCAATATGACTTTCTGTTGATGCCACGCTATTAGAGGGACAAATTTCATAGCCGAGAGGAGCTGATGGGATAAAGAACATGGACTTTGTAGCCAGGCCGGATTTGATTTCCAGCTCAGTCACTTACTGGTAGACAAATTCTCTCTCTGTCTATGTCTGACTGTCTCTCTCTCTCCACTGACAAGCCATGGAGTGCAGGGGTCCAGGTGGCAGCTTGGTCCTTCTGGCTGTGCAGAAGAAAGGATGGACAGGCCTCTGGACTGGATGCCCAGGGCTCCCAGAACTCTCAGGAATCAGGGGTCTGTAAGTGCAGAGGAAGCATCAGCATTTCATGTGGATAGTTACAGAAAAACCAGCTTCATTTGGGGCTGGGACCCAGAGAGCCTCCCCCTTCCCACCCTTCTGGCCCCAGGTAATTATCACCCTCAGTTCCCAGCTGAGGCAGCGGGGGCATAGGGAGACCAGGGAATTTCACTAGGTTGAATTTCACTAGGTTGGCTGGTGAGGATGGAATTCAGACTTGCTGGTGAAAGGGGCAAAGAGGGAGTCCCAAGCACAGAAAGTGGCCCTGGCATTGCCCTGCAGATACTGCTCCAAGAATTTCGGTGTGCAAGCCCCATAGACAAGGGGGAAGCACACACTCAGGCAGCCCCACATTCAAAGGGTCCATGGTGGAACCTTATGGCTGCTCATTAACCTGCTTGCTTTCCTCACCTGTAAAGCAGGAGAACAGTTGCTGCCTTCCTTCAGGGATACTGCAAACACAGAAAGAGCTCATCACCAGCACAGTGCCTGTCTCTGAGAGATACATCAGATGAACGTCCTGGAGTCTGCTCACACAAACCTAGACGGTATGGCGTGCACAAGTGGTGTACTCGTCACGGGGACACATACCCACAACTTGAAGGAGGAGAGGTGTTTTTGCCTCGAGGTTGCAGAGGGTTCAGTCCATGGTTGGCCGGCTCCAAGGCACAGACGGCACGGTAGATGGCACAGCGGATGAAAGCTGCGCAACCCAGGCAGCCAAGAATCAAAGAAAGAGTACGAGCAAGAACAAGAGCAAGGGACACACCCCCAAAGGCACAGGGCCGGTGAGCACCCTCCAAGGCACTCTCGCCTCCTGGGCCCTGGGAGGGGACCCTCAGCTCTCAGTCCTTCCATTCCTGCCCTCCTGGCTCACCGGGCCAGAGTCTGGGATGAGAGAAACAATCTCACTGGGTGTAGAGCAAGGCTTGTATCCTTACTCCTGTCTCTAATGTCACTAACTCACTGAAATTTGTTCCACTGGCCCAGTGTGCAAATGTGTGCCCCCACCCACGAGAGGCTCACGACTGGCTACTGAAGCCCTGAAACACTCCTCCAAGCCGCCCGAGAGTGGAAGACCCACCGCTGTCCCAGTGGCCTTGTTTTCACAGGGCAAATACTCCATCCTCTGTGAACAGCCTGTTGGCCTGGAGATCAGGCGAGCAGAAGTCCAGTGCCATTTAGGGGCCGGGCGAGGGGTGACTTCCTGTTCACACACCTCACGCTTAGTGTTCTGCAGAGAACTCGGCACTAAATTGCGGAAGGGGCCGGCCTACCGCAGCTCCTACATCAGGATGAAAAACCTCGCAGATTCAAAGAGTACCAGTGGGCTCCCCATTCTCGCAAGCCTGCCCCTGTGTCCCTGCAGCGGCACAAAAGCGGACAGTAGAGCCTGCTCAACTGCTCGTCACCTTGACCTCCTTCCACCTGCCCTGCTCCACCCTGATGAGTACTTCTGCCTGCGCAGTCAAGGCCCTGCCGTGGCTAGAGGTCACTGAATTCATCGTGCTACACGAGGGCTTCGCTGATGTTTTAGAATTTCTAGGGTGACCTTACTCCCTGTATTTGTTTTTCACAACTCTTCTACTTCTCCCCCTGTTGTTTAGAGGAGCAAGAGCTAGGCTGAAATCAAGAGCTCACAGTGCCAAGACACAGAGGGGCTGCGAGGCACAGATGCACAGAGGAAAGCTTCCAGGTGCCAGCGCCTCCCGCCCAGGGGCTGGCACTGGAGCAGGTGCCTGGGATCCTGGGGTTAGCCCAGGTGGCCCTGTGCATGCACCAGGCCTGCCGGACTCATGGCTCAGGGCTGGCCTGGTGGCCTCCTCGGCTTCTGCTCTACTGGAGAGGTGGGTGCTCACTTTCACCTGGGGGAAGGAGAATAGTGGGAGTGCGGGTGACCTCACCTGGGTGCTGTGGAATAAAGGACACGTGTCCACGGTGAGGCTGGCCCAGTAAGATTCCCCAGCTGCACCGTGCCCCACAGAGCTCGTTCTGACCGTGAGCTCCGCTTCTTCCCCTCCAGCCCTGGAGGGCAGGAGGACCCCATGTGCTCTCTTCCTCCAGTTCTGCAGATGATGAGTCCAGGCCTGAAGGCCAGGGGAGGGGCTGCCTCCCTCCAGCTGCCCGTGACTCAGGTCCAGAGCGACTCCCCACATCCACCCTCACCCCACCTCGCAGGACCCCTGGGAGCTAGAGGGGCTGGTCAGGGCGAGATTACTACCCTGCCCTGCAAGGAGAAATTGAAGTAAATGTTGTGAGGATTGCCCAACATCAGAGCACTAGAAGGAGAGGCCCGAACAGAAACAGACGTTTCTGATTCTAACTCTAAAAGGTTTACATGCAAATCGGAGAGTTTAAGTTGTACCTGTTTTTTCAGTCTTGCTGTAAATGATAGGCCTATTTGGAAGATGTTCATGGTGACTCCTAAGTCCCTTCTACTCTGTCTGCTTGATAGACTTTCCTTTGTCCATCCCTGAGGGGAGAGCCTCTGGGTGGAGCTAGTGCTGCTGACTCTGGAAGGCAAGCCCTTCCCAGGACCTGGGCCGTTCTCAGGGCCTTCTGCCCATCTGTCCGTACCGCGGCACTCCTACCGCCACCGGCACCAGCATCTCCTTCCCTCTGCACACGCGTGGGACAAACAAGGCAGACTTCAATTAGCCACCAAGGTCACCCGGGGGGAGCCAGAGATGTTTCGGTCAAACCCAGGGGTTCTGCTCCACGGTCTCAGCACTGACCCCCTGGCTTGCCCGCCTGCTTCTGAGCACTGCCTGCCCCTCCTTCCGCTAAGTCTGTGAGGGGAGAGGGAAGGATCGGAGTTTGCAGACACGAAGCCCTGAGCCCGTGACACCACCATTAGATTATCCTCCTTGGAGCTGCAGCTGCTTTGGGAGGCTCAAATTTCCAGACTAATTTTCAGGAAGCTGCACCTAGATGTTTAGCGTAAGCCAAGACAGGAAGAAATATTCAGGAGTAAACCCCCTAGACCGATCTCTTAAATTTTAATGTGCACACAAATTCCCTGGAGACAGCGTAGAGATCCAGGGTGAGACTCCACAGGTCCGGGTGGGGCCTGGATTCCGCATTTCCAGCCAGCTCCAGGGTAAGGCAGACCTGTCTGGTCTGTGGCCCTACCATCAGTAGTAAAGCTCTAGGTTTCCAGCTACGCTCCTGGGGGCTCCTGAAGGTGTCCCAGGGGCAGGACTGCAGGGCCCTGGGAAGGGTTCTGAGTGAGATTACCGTTGACAAAAAGGCTTTTTCCTGCTTTGGAAAAGAAAGTTTGACAACCACAGCCCTAAATAAAATGTCCAGTACATTTGGAGATACTTACTCGTGTGTGTGGTAAGACATTTCTGTCCCCAGAGAGAAAAAACATTTTCTATATACTTTGCTGACTCAGGGGAATCAAAAGCTATATTTGGACAGCTGGCCTCACATTGACCTCCTGCTACCTAATAGAAGATGCTGGTGGTGCTCTGCTTCTCTGCTCAGAAATAATTATATTTACATTCCCTCTCTCTCTCCCTCGCGCTCCCTCTCCCTTTCTCTCTCTCCCTCGTGCTCCCTCTCTCTCTCTCTCTCTCTCTCTCTCTCCCTCTCCCTTTCTCTCTCTCTCTCCCCCTCCCCCTCTTTCCCTCTCTCCCTGTCTCTCTCTCATAGGAGAAAAGGATACCTGCTTCTGGAATTCATCAGCTCCAGCTGTTTACTTCTATTTGAGGCCAGAAATGTATTTTTCCTCCTGTGTCTAATTTTCTTACGGGAGGAAGGGGGAAAGAAGGCTTCCAAGATTGCAATCGTGAAATTGTTACCTTCACAGGAAAAATCGGTCTATTTGTCCAGAATGTTAAGTGAAAGCTCACCACCAGACCAGAGGAAACAAGATACTGGGGTACTGGACTGGAAGGAGCTGGATATAAATCCAGTGTTCTGGAAGAAAAGAGCTCTGTGATGAAATATGTTAGGGAAATGCCGTGTTAAGCAAGCCTCTCTCCTGAGGGATTTCTTAGTCTGTTAGGAGGAATTACAGCTCTGACTCCCCAAGGGCAATTACACTCAGCAGTGCTTCTCAGACTTCCCTGATAGCACACAGAGTGTCCTTCTCACGGATGTTTTGAGGGACACTTGGATTCTGTGGACCCCAGCCCCTAGGAGGAATTGATCAAGCCTCAGCTCTAGGCTGCCTCGTGCAAGCCCTAAATCTGGGAAAGCACTATCCCTTCCTGGGCTAGCTCAAACAGCAAGATCTTCCATCTCTGGAATTACAATTCCAGAACATTCCAGAAAGACGAACTCTGGACCGGCTCTGGGAGTCTGGGGCTAAGGCTGAGTGAGAGGGCGGCTCCACCCGTGCGGTGCTGAGCGACCCTCCCCACAGTCCCCTCACGCATGCTGGGACTCGGTCTCACTCTCCTTGTGACTCCAGGGAGGCTCACAAGCGCCACCCACAAATCTGTGCCCCACTGACCGTGGGAGCATTTTCGGGGAGGAGGCACCCCGTTAGAGGACGTGCAGAGCTTCCAGAGATCAGGGAGAGGTGCGGCGAGCCTCTGCTTGCGGGGAGAAAGCAAGGAAGAAGAGGGCTTGCCGGGAAGGGAAGTCTGCGGCGTCCCACTCAGACAGGCAAGGGCTTGCTGCCTCTGCTCCGCTGCAGCTCCCTTGAGCCTCAGTTCGCTCCTTTCCCAAAGGAAGTTGATGTTCTCAGGCCCCTCCGGGTCGGGCAGTCAAGGCTTCCAGCATGGTTGCCCCCAGCGTGGCGCTGGCCGCTAGCTTTTAAAACTGTGATCATTATGTGTTTGCTTGACCATTTATTAGAAAAACATGTGAACTAGCACCTGAAGGTCCCGCTTTCCCAGATGCCCTCGCTGTGACGGAGGCTCAGGCAGAAGACCCAGGCGCCCCAGCTGCAAACAGGGGAGCAGAAGTGGCAGGTGAAGGAAGCCTGAAGTGCAGGCTCTCAGGACAGTTCCAACTTCTCGGACGCAAGCCTCCCGCCGCGGGGTGGCGCTAGTACGGGCTGGAGGGTGTAGCTGGGTGTCCTGGAGTGATGGACCGAGGACAGACATGAGTCTGCAGATGAAAAGAACATGACAGGAGTGTGCAGTGCCTTGCTCTCCCAGTTTGGCTTCCGCCTCTTTGGATTTCAAGAATTGCATTTAATTTACTGGATGGGATTATCTTAATTCATACTGCTTTCAAGAACACTTCTGGAAAAAGCTGTATTTAAACTGAAATGTAGGAGAGAACACCTTCTCTTACCTCAAAATAGGTCTCCCTTTGACCCCTCGGTGCTGCAGATTAATGTGACATGAGACTCCGTGTCTCCAGCACCTACGCTTAAATAATGTAAAGCTTTCTATCTTCTGACTCTGGCTCCAGCCTGGTTTAGGCAAGAGGGCTGTGCTCATTTATCTCTCTGCTACAGGGAATAAGAATAGTTCCCAGGGTTTAGTGAGGATTCGTCACATGTCACAATTTGACATTTACTAATTCACTTAACCCTACGATCCAAGGATTGCTGTTCTGTCTATTTTGCTGATGAGGAGAACAAGGCCCAGAGAAGTTAAATTATGCTCCAGGTTGCAAAGCCATTAAATTGCAGAGCTAGGATTTCAACTCTTAACCACTACTCTGCCTCCCTAGGGGTAAGGTTCAGGGCCTTTATATAAACTTTCTGGTCATACATCCAAAAAGGAAAAGGGGAAATGCTAGACATTCAGATTTCCGCAGTCAGTAATTTGCAGTATGAACAGGGGTGACCACAAAGTTTCCTCTAAAATATCATGGGAATCTGGTGGACTTCCAGGGGCACAGGCTGGGCATGTAACTGCTGGCCCAGGAAAACGAGGCCTGGGCACCTGCAGGGAGAGGGCAAGAGAGGTGGGCAATGAGAAGCCCGCTCAAGCTTTTCCCCAGCTTAGACCCAGGAAAGAGGGAGCCAGTCGAGCCCTGAGGGGCATCCAGGGAACCCACGAGTGGGTACTGGGGGCATGGTGGGAAGCTGGTGTGACTAGCTGCTTATCTACCTCAGGGCAGACGAGCGACCCATTTTGCGCAAAATTGTAAATGCCCTGCAGGGCCCTTGGACCCCAATCCAGGCAGGTGGAAATGCTGGTGTCTGGGTGGCAGTGCATTTGGGTGGGTTGGTGTGGCCACCTGTCCCCTGGGGCCCACGTAGCACTGGGTCAGAGGGTCATGAGGGGGCTAGGGACTGTCCTCTGCGACCACGGGAGCTGTCAGGGCCAAGCAAGGAGCAGCTCACTCATGGGGCCTGGTCTCCGCCCTGCCCTCTGCCCTGGCTCTGCGAGAACTACCGGTGAGGCCCACAGCCTCTGCCTGGCAGCCCCTGCCCTCTGAATCCGGGCCCACCAGGCGGCGGCTGGCGACATCTCCAGCCTTCACCCCTAAACCTGTTGACTGCTGCCCCACTCCCGCCTCAGTGATGCCGACACCCTTCAGGTTAGCCTTGATCTCTCCCTTTCACACCCCACACCTGGTCTGTTGGCGCATTCTTGAAGTTTCCGTGGGAAACCTGCTCCTTGATCTAAGGCTCGTGTTTAGTGCAGGCCCCAGCTCGGTCTGTGGGGTGCTGGGGCCTTCTGACATCTCCCTGCACCTGAGCTTGCTGCCACCCACCATCTGGCCACCCTGCTATCTGGCAGCAGAGGGGGCCTGTGACCGTGCCCACCCTCCTCCTCCTCCGCCCAGGCTGTCTCTCCAAGGCCTGCTTACTCCGTGATGTCAGCTCTCACTGGCCTCTCGCTTCCCACCAGCCCGACCTGGCACGGTCCTGTCCGGGAGACCTTGCGCCTCCCCTAGGAGCCTGGTCCTCCTGAATGTCTGAATGGCTTCCTTCCTCTCCTCCCAGTTCCTGTTCAAACTGCCACCTTCGAGCTGAGGTCTGCTTGGCCCCACATCCTCACAGGTTCTCTTTCTCTTCGTTAATTCCCTTCCCCCCAACAATCCCTAAGCCGGAGTTCCTCCCGTGTCTGACCCCCGGGTGCATGTGCACACACACACGCACACACACACATCAGTAGTAGCAGCAGCAGCAGGCGTTCATGGCTACCCTGAGCCACAGCTTTGCAGCGCTCAGAGCAGAGGGGTGAAGAACATGAGAAACACTAGTCTCCTGTCACAGAGACCTTCAGAAACCCAGGGAAGCCAGGAGCTACCCCAGAAAGGGGCGCTGTTCTCCCAGTAGGCAGGGAAGGAGGGCAGTTGGGACTCTGCCAACCCCAGAATGGTAGGCAGTTGACAGTTGGAAAAACCAAGGCAAGAAGGGCAGAGAAGCACCTTTGCCCTTATCAGAGAAGAGCAGATAGATACCCCGGTGTCCCTGGGGCCCCACTAGACCATGAGGCCCTGGAGGGCAGGGCTGGGCCTGGCCCCCACCTTCCCCGCCAGGGCCCAGCTCAGAAGCCTGCAGGCAGATGCATTACTAGAAGCTTGTTAGGCTGCGTAGACAGCCTCAGGACACCCTTCCAGCATTTAAGCTAAACCCCGCAAGGGTGCCTGAGTGGCAGCGGTGGACCCCCTAAACCTGCTCTATCGCTGAGGTTTCTTGGGATCTGACAGTCCACCTGAGGGAAGGCAGCAGCTGCAAGGATATTTGCCTGGCTGCTCCACCCATTCTGGGTAACCTGCAGGACACACTCTGGAAATCAGAAGAACGGTGGTGCCCTCCTACCCCTGAGAGAAAGAACTAAGCTGCTGCAAGCCAAGTGGAAGGAAGGGAGCTTGGAAATTCAGAGTGAGCAGAATCATTTCCTTCCGTCCTCCTGCTCTCTCAGGGAATGGATTTGCTTCATTCTTCCACATCCCCTTTCAGGGATCCCTGAATTCTCTCCCCCACCAAAGAAACCCCCTCCCCTTCACCAGGGCTTCTCTCCTGCTGGTTTGCAGCTTTGAGGATAGGACTCATATTCTGCGCTTTGAGGTCCTTTCCACTGGGGTGCTTGGCTTGATGCCTTTGTGAGGTAACAAAACCATATCCTGCCAGGGTCTGTCAGGTGTCCTTTCCTTCTGCCCCCAGGCTTCCCCTCAGGGGAGACCAAGCTACCAAGGAAGCCTCGCCAAGCTTGGAATCCCAGAGACCTCCCCACAGGGGCGAAGGTGCCATCACGCTAGACACCTGCTCAACTTGCTGGTCCCCGGAAATCTCAGCTGCACTGCTACAAACAAGGTGGGAAAGACTGTCCATCTTCACTGCGATTTAAGATGATAGGTTTCTGGCTTTGTGCACTTGGATAAGGTTAACTTCATTCCTACAAGGAAGAAGAAATATCCCCACTCTGGGAAACAGAAGTTTGGTGGGAAAGCATGCAGCTTTGGAAGTGCTGCAAGCAGTTCGATTTGCACAGCCCCTCTCTCCCAGGCTGTGTATTTCTGTGCCTGATAATATGTTTGTTACACCTCGTCTCTGCCAGGGACACATACAGTAAATTGTCGGCTCCAACCACGTAATCTCCTAACCATAAGGTTCTAACATCTGTTGGCCAGTTGTTGCGTGGTTGGATCATTAACAAGGCTTCTAATTTTACTCTTTGAGTTTAACATAAAAAGTTTTAATGAGTATATGTAATTCATACTTTCCAACTTCAGAGAGTCCTGAAAGAGAAACCTATGTTTTTATAACCCAGGTCTCTGAAGTCAACAGTTTTATTTTTAAATCCCGTTTCCTCCCTCACGCCCCTGACACAAATGCATTATAAAGCTGACCAATGGGACATGCCTGCTGCCTCCCGTGCCGGGAAGCGCATCGCTGTGTTGGTCTCGGTTTTAGTGAGGAGTCCTCTAAGGCCTGCGCTCAGAGGATATGTCCTATGTGATCATTCTTCCCTCTGAGGTTAGGCTGATGTTGGGAACCCGTCTGCCCATTTATAAAAACAAATCGAAAACCAGCACAAGGAAGGCAAGTGCTGAGTCATGCTGGGAGAATTTGGTTTGAAAACTTGCTTCCATTCCCTTGCCTGTTTTTACTGAAATGATTTAGTAATGCTTTGCTCCTGCCAACTCCGTTCACCTTTGTAGCCTCCTTCCTTGGATGTACCCTCTACCTCTGCCTAGGAAGAGACAGCATTTGACTAAGTGCAAGTTCAGGCTGACCTCTTTCCTCAGAGACATGCCTCGAGACATATATTCTGGAGTGTTCTGTAGGAATCAATCCAACAGGCCTAGAACATTCGTGACTGAGAAAGCACCTCCTTCACAATTCTTTGCTGTAGCTGTGTTTACCATTAACCAAATCATGGAGAATTTCAAAGGGATTCCTGGTATCATCTCCACCTCCGCTTGATGATGCCTTTAAAGGACTCATGGACTCCAGCTGCAGTTCTGTCCAGGTTTTGCAGACACTCGTCCCTTCCTGCCCTTCCTGCTGAGTGCGTTCCACCTGTCTTCACCCGGAATGCTGAGCCCACAGTGCCCACAGTGAATGACCAGACTCAACCAGCCGCCCCTGTTGCCTGTGACAGGAGAATCGGGGGGACAGGCTCCTTCCAATTCTCTCAAGTTCAGAACCAAGAAGACAATGCAGTGTTTTCTGAGAAATGCCCTGTCTGCAATGTGGGGGGAAGAGATGGGGGAAGACAGGAGCAGGAGGCCAAAGTTAAGGTGAGGTGGATAAGGTTAACTTCATTCCTACAAGACAGATAAGGTTTCTTATCTTTCAGATAAGATAAGGTTCTCTGTGTGTTAGTCAGTTTTATGTTACTGTAACAAAGTATCTGAGATGAAAACCAACTTTTAAGAAGGAGAGGCTTATTCCGGTTCCCAGCTTCAGTCCATGGTCAGGCAGACCCATTGCTTTCCAGCCTGTGGCCAGGCAGCACATCACAGTGGGGAGGACATGCAGAACAAAAGCCATTTACCTCATGACCAGGAGGAAACAGAAGGAGGAAGACGCAGAGCGTCGGGTCTTTGGGGGCACAGCACCAGTGACCTAGACCGTCCACTGGGCCTCATCTCTTAAAGTTTCCACTTCCCATTGGCCTTGCGACCAAAGAAAGGAAACAGGACTGTTTTTGGTCAGAGCTGGGATGGAACCCAGGGCTTTGAGTGTGTAGCAAGAGCTGTACCACTGAGCTATCTCCCAAGAAACAAGCCTGCAGTAACCATGCAAGGCACCGTCCTGACAGAAAGAGAAGACACCGGGTCAACACTGGAGAAGGAGGAAGGGGACAGAAAGGCAAGGAAAGGGGAGGAATAGATGGGGGAGACAGGAGCAGGAGGCACGGAGAGGCCACACTGAGGGTCCTGGCCCTTCTGGACAACCGGAAAGGAAGGCGCTGCTCCTGTCTCTGCAGACGTCAGGTGATGCAGCAAACTCTAGGTGACTTGGATCATTTCAGTTCTTTCCCTTCCCAAGCGTGTCTCATGTTCCTGCCCCTGACAGGGCCATTTCCTCAGGAAGCATCCTGTCTCCACCTAAGGAAACACCTGCGACACATGGTTCCTCGGGAGGCAGCGAGGCTGGCCACGCCTACTACACAAGGGTGCAAAGCCATGTCCTTGGAACAGCTCGCTTCTGTGTTGCTACTGCTGGGGGCGGAAGCCAGGGTCTTGGGCATACGAGGCATGTGCTCTACCACCGAGCCGCACCCCAGCTCCACAGTTCACACTGCCAGCTGCGCACGTATTTGACACCAGCACGGTCCCTGCTGCAGCTCCTCTGGCACACTGCCTGCCTCCCTGGGGAGAAGTGGAGCCAAGCTGAGGCCGTATGGGTACTGTGTGTGTGCTGCACCAGGCACTCGCCCAGGCTACCTCTGGGTGGAGGCGGCTGACCCCTTCCTGCTCAGCTTGGGTAGCAGGGCTTCCCAGAGGCAGGCAGTGCCGGTCACTCAGGTTGGGCCTCCCTACCAAGCTAGAGAAGAGCACCCCTCACTCTGAATGCCCACACTGGCTTTCTGAATTCCTCCAAGGGTGGTGTGGACAGGCAAGTGATGGAATAAGAAGGAAAGACACAGCAAGGGGGAGAGTTCTCTGCAGCTAGATAAGGCGCCAGCACCTCAGCCTCTGTCAAGGTCAGCCTCAGCAAGTCAAGGTCAACCCTGCCAACTTCCCCCGGCCTCAGCCTCTAGGACTGCTTAGCTCTCATGGTATCACCAGCCACATAGCTCCCCCACAGCACGGGGAGGTTGGCCTTTTTTCCTCTCCTTCATTCCCCAGATTTGATCTGTCACTGCGCACTGCTGAATTTACCTTTAACATTTTCGTCCAGGATAGCAGCCAACAGCCATGTGTGGCCTGCACTTAGGAGATACTGAGAGACAGAGAGAGACAGAGAGACAGAGACAGACAGAGAGACAGAGACAGAGAGAGAGGTGTTGCTAATTCCCTCCCATTGCCACTCTCAGTTCACGCCACAGTTTTTCTGTTTTTCTGGCCTGCGCTGATGTAGCTGCTTCCTAAATCTTTCCCTGCCCTTGACTCTTCATCTCCAACATTGCCAGGGATCCAAAAAACAAAACCAAAAAACACCAAACAGATTCTGACACTTTAGTATTCAAGCAAAGTCCGCACGCTGGCCTTGAGTCCAGGGCTTGCCCTTCCCGTCTCCCAGGCAGAGTTAATCCCTCCTGTGCCACAACGTTCAAATGGCCCCACACCCTGTCTTACTGTCCTGAAGCTTCCAGACTCTGAGCTCCTTGCTGGGCACATGGGAAGGTTCAAGAACTGCCACTCAAGGGCTGCACACCCTGGAGGGTCAGCCTTGGAGGACAGAAAAGGAAGGCTACATCCTCTGAACTTGAGAACTCATTTCTACAGGCCAGTCAGGTCTGCCCAGGGCAGGGGCAAGCAACCCTGGCTATGTCTGAGTTGCCTAGTGGCATGGTTTGAATCAAACCTGTCCTCCAAAGGCTCATGTGTTCAGAAGTGGGGCTTTGGTGAGGTGATTAAGTGTCTGGCTGCTAACCTCACCAACGGACCATCTCCCTGAGTTCACAGCTGAACAGCCGCTGGAGGTAGGGCCTGGCTGGAGGAACTAGGTTAGTGGGAGAGAACCTCTAAGGGTGCATCCTGTCCCCAGCCCCTCCCCGTCCTCTGGCGCCTCCTTACCCGCTCTTGCTTAGTTGGCTACCATGAGGTCAGCGGCTGTCTTCCATCACGCTCTGCCACCTCCGTGCTTCTGCCTTGAAACATAGGCCATGGACTGAACCTTCGGGAACTGTGCGCCAAAACAAACTTTTTTCTTTAAATTACGTATTTTGGCTCAGCAACAAAAGTGACTAATACTGCAGCCTACAGGCCAATTAAGTCTGAGTCTCTGGGGTGTGGGACTGAGTGCTGGGAGAAGCCATGAACAGCCGGGTGGGGCTTCCAGCCTGGGGCAGTGTGCAGAGCCTGCTTGCTTGCCAAAGCCTCACATCTTACGCATTTGGGGGCTGCCATAGATCTCCGACGACTGTGCACGGTATGTCTGTGTAAAATTAATGTCCTGCTGGATCAAAGGTGGCAGGGACAGAGAGACCAGTTGTGCAGGCGGCAGCTAGGAAACCCGGACTCCAAACCTGTCTGTATGAACAAGGTTGGGAAACACCTAATCCTCCTTTACATTTTTTCAGCAGCCTGAGCAGCAAGGGAAAGCCCAGGGCCAGGCTGTGGGAACGGACCCGACTGTGTCGTCTGGCAGCATATTTTCACGGAGGGCGCCACATCAGGTCTCAGTGTCCCGGCTGGATCGGGTGGGGCGCTCTTTCTTCACCTCACCCCAGCCCAGACCCAGGATGTGCACATAACCTGGACTTGGGCCACGACACACACCCATGACCAGCATCCCCAGGTCTTCCCAGGACTTTCTGGGTAACTGGAGAAGCCCTCTCCCCTCTGCGAAGTGGTGTGATGGAAGGCTAGGCTGGCTTTGGGCAGTCAGCGTCGACCTCATCTCCACATGCGGAGTTTGCTGGATGAATAACTGAGCAAAGTCCTCATGCTTGGCATGGGGTAGGTGCTGTCACTGGAAATCTATGCTGAGCAGTATACTGTCCTTCTTAGGAAGTGTGCAGCAAAGAGATACCTCTACATCTGGCCATAGAAAAGTGACGCCACTGCCTTAAAAGATGCCCAAACCTGCAACTAGGAAGAGTCCAGATAAACAAGTGTAACGGCATTGGCCGGGGCAGGAGGAGAGTGATGCTGAGGTCAGGACAAAGGACCAGAAGGCAAAGCTCAACAGCAGGAGCAGTGTCTCACGGGAGTAAGAAGGAAGCCTTGGTCAGGAAAAGGGGACACTGAGCCAGGGGCAGCAAAGACATACTTTTCTTTGACTTTTTAAATTGTGCATTGCATGTGGCTTCTGGGGTTGGTGGCTTAGGTCTGGGGCTAACTCTGAAAGTTCCTCTTCAAAATCTCTGTTGTTAGCTGTGTGTGGTGGTTCACACTTGTAACCCAGCACTCTAGGAGGCTGAGGCAGGAGGATTGCAAATTTGAACCCAGTCTGGACAATTTAGCAACTTAGTGAGACCCTGTCTCAAAATTTTAAAGAACATTAAAAAGGGCCAGGAATGTAGCTCAGTGCAAAGGACCTGGATTCAATCCCCAATACTGAAAAACAAAAAATTCACTCTGCTATGCCAAAATTAACATTCCTTTTCTCTCCTCTCCCCATCTGTAGAATTAATGTGGGACTTCACATAAATCCAATTATCTGGTTACCAGTACTTTTTGCTATTAGCATGAGCCAAGTCAACATTGGGCCACAAAGATGCAAACGTTGTCTCCTCAAAGAGCTCTTTGTCTTATAGATGGATATTTAAATGGCAACTATAACAAATGACCCCAGCAATGTGCTATTTAACGTTTAAATAGATACATAGAGAAAACACAGAAATTTCAGAGTCATCACAAACATGGGAAATGCTGTAGAAAATTACTTAGGAAAGCTCAGCACTGTACACAAAAACCCTGAAGGTCTACTTTCCAGAACCCACAGGAAGAGAACATTATAAAGTTCCCAGATCCAAAATGTGAAGCACTCCCATTGTGTGGTGCATCATCTTACAGGTATTAAGGGAGGTCGTGATGGAAGGTCAGAGTGCGGTTCACACCCTCTTCCCTGCCCTCTCTGGGCCGTGCAGGGTTCGAGCGCCTGGATGGGGCCCTCCAGCAGGAAGGTGATGGACCAAAGACTTCCTCAGACAGCGAGGCTAGGGACAGCAGGAGACAGGGTGAGGAGGGGGCGCCTCCAGGGGCTCAGGGAGACGGAAGCCTCTCTGGCCCAGCCCGGCCTTCATCCCCATGATCTCCTCCCCGAGACACTGCCTACTTGGAGAGCAGGACTTCCGAAGCCTGTGCAGACCAGTCTGTGGCTACCGGAGAGGGTGCCCCTGTTGCAGAGGCTGGAGGGTACCGGGTACATCTATTCAATAGACTCTTGGGTTTGAATCCATGACCAAGGACTCAGCAGCAAGTTATTTAACCTCACAGTGCCTCAGTTTCTTCTTCTGTAGAGTGGGCATAATAAAGCACCTACCTCCAGGGATGCCCTGAGTTAAGGGAGTGGCTGCCTGAAAAGAGCTTAGCCTGGTCGTCCATACACATTAGGTGCTACCCAAGTTCAGTGCAGTAACTTTCACACCTCTGCTGGACAGGGACCACCTTCTTCTCGTGTGATGGGCGCAAGGCAGCCACCCGTTGAAAGCCAGAGTGAACACACGCCTGGCTGTGACAACCGCTCTGGACCCTGGCCAACGTGGGTGATTCCCTTCGTGTTTATGAAGAAGCACTGGATACCAACACGAAGTGGTTAAGCAAACCCAGATTGCTGTCGCGGACTTTGATGGAGAAAGGATTAACTCACTTCCAAGTGCCTTGGCTTCGGACCAACAGTATTTGCTTAGCGGAGAACTGCCTTTCAACACAGCTCAGTGAGAAAGACCAGGCTGAGCACTGGGGAGGCGCGGGGGATCAGCAGGGACACAGCACATAGACTGGCTCAGTTCTAGGGGTTTCTTGCTTGGTTGGCCCCATAGTGGAGTCAGAGAGAGACTGGGGGTTCCCTTTGTGCTGAAGAGAGCACCACCTATGTAATCAGGCGCATGATCAGCAAGTGAGGGTGCCCCTAGGCTGCAGTCACCCTCACCTGCTTCCTTCTCCCAGTTAGCAGTGATTATTGTGACTGAAATACTTCTCCAGGTCCCCAACAATTTAAGTGCACATGTGTTCAGAAACATTCTGGTGCCGGAGCCCAAGCTTATGAAGAAGCTTATGTGCTTCTTTGCACATGTAAAGCCAGAGTATGTGGACTGGACGATACTTGCAGCAGGATCTGATGATGTAACTGCCTGCCCCGTCTGGCCGGACTTGCCTGTGAGATGTCTGTTGAGAGCCCGGTCCCAGGCGCTTACAACGGGACAGACTGCTTCGCGGGTCCACCAGAACCCTGGCAGACAGCGGACACTGCAGGCTGCAGGGACCTTGATGGTGCAGCCTCCACCGCCCCGCAGAGCCAAGAGTGAGGGGCAAGACTGCATATCCAGTTCCGTTCCTGTCGTATCTCTCCTCAGCTTTAAGAGGACAGTAGAACAGGAGGCTTTCATTTTTAGGAGAGATATAGGAGCCACTGTTAAGAAAATGAAACAGCCTGGATTTACTACCAGTATTCACGGAGGGCTTTCTGTGGGTCTGAATAACGTTAAGAGTGGGAAACCCAAAGATGAAGCAGCCTTAGCGACCTCTGGGCACTGGTAAATAACCCCAGGCATTATGAGGGGGCGGCCGGGAGCTGAAGCGCCATCACGCTTGTGGAGTGGCTGCCAAGGGGCCCGGCTTCCCCCCAGAGACGTCGGATGAGAGTGGAATTGTCCCCCACCCGCAGTAGGAGAACAAGGACCCAGAAAGGGGAGTCAGCTCCCAGGTAACATAGATAAGGACTGGCAGAGCTGGAATTCAGAACCAGGTCTGCCTGGGTGTCTCCTGCGCCACGACTCTTCCCCAGGGCCATTCAGGCTTTAGAGGGTAATGCGCTCCAGGACCAGGCGAGAAGCTCTCTGTCTGAGGAAGCCTTGCAAAGCCCCAGAGAAAGGCGAGCTGTGAAACGAACGAAGACTTCTTGTTTCTGATTTCTTTCCCTTCATGCCCCATCTCCTAGGCCAACGATGGCGAACCTTTCCGCGCTTTCCGTGATACAAACAGCGTGCTGCGGCATGCGTGCCACAGGTTCACCACCACTGGCCTAGGCCATGGGTGGCCCTCGGAGAAGGCACAGATTCGAAGAGGGTCTTGCTCCTGCCCACACCACAGCTGATGGTCTGCCCTGGGCGTGAAGGGAGGATGCTGGGCAGGTGAGGGGCCAGAGAAGCTGCGTAAACAGACCTTCCTCCAGCCCAGAAAGAAAGCCCTACAGGAAGCAGACGGTGGCCTGCCTGCTGAACAGGCAGCGTGGAGATTTCTAGGCCCTGGGCATACACCAGTTCAGGTGAGTCTTTGTGATCAAGAAAATGAGCAAAGTGACAAGGGCTTCTTTGCAGCTTTGACAAATGACCCTTGAGGAATAGGGATCTGACCATAACGAATTCCACTCTTACTGCTCTGCTCCATACGGCAGAGCTGCCATCATCCTGGCCAGAGACATCTCTAGCTTGGGTGCTAAAATGTGTCAAGGGCTTTTAATGGGCTCTTGACTGTGTTTTCCAGGCGCGGGCCATGGAGGAGCACTTAGCTAATTGGTTGCCTGGGCCCCTCAATTAGAAAAGTGCATTTCCTGTCGAAGAGCTATGTGCATCCAGGGAAAAGGGATGATGCAGGCTGCTCTCACGGTAGGCAAACGCGACCTACGATGCAGGGCAGTGGTACAGGTTGGGTGGCTCCACGGGAAAACCAGTCAAAAAAAAAAGCCCCAAGAAGGTGGCACCGACATTCACTGTCCTGAGCTTGGTTTGGCTTCTCCCAAGTAGCAACTGAAAAAAAAAAAAAAAAAAAACAATAAACAAGCAAACAGCTACCAGCACATACAGCTACTAAGTACGACACATCTTTAGAATGCAACTCAGAAAACACTGGCTCTTATCCCGTGAAAGACTCCAGTGAGATCTGTGACACTGACGAAACATCTGCTCTGACATACAAAGGTGAGGGGCCAGAAGGAAGAGAAAAAGTGGCACGTGAGATCTGTGCTTACAATGTCATAGGGCAGACCCCCCAGAAGGGTCTTCTTTGGTACTATCTGTGAAATGAATCAGCGGTGTGTTTCCACCAGCTTTCCCCTCCAGTATTAATAACAGCACCATTCCTACCTGAAATGGCTTTTATAATTGTGTAATTACACACCTCATTTATCCAATTGTTAAGCCAAGAGACTGATTAAATATTAACAACTGCTTGCTTCTCCCGGTGTCATTAGTTGGAACACAACCCTGTAATCTCAGGTAACACATGATGGTAATTATCCTTCACATTCACACGTAGCTGCAAGCCCCAAGCAGTCAATCCAGATAAGACCGCCTGTAGGAAATCATTGCCCTTAAACCCTGGTTTATCTCCTCTGTCCGGAGCAAGGTGCATTTCAGACCAGCTCAGGGTTTTTAAGAGTGAACCTGCTGTCGCTGGGTAACGGCTGGGCATTGAGGTGGGGCCAGCATAATAAACAGCTCAATCCCCGCGTACAGCCCTCTCCACTCATAAATCCGACTGGCTGCAGAAGTTATGACGGGACTTTTCCTCAAAGCACCAAGATGGAGCATCTGGCTTAGGTGAAGCATCCCTCATTTTAGAAAACAGTGCTGAGCCTAGCAGTTTCCATTCTTATTCCTGCTGAGCTGGGTGCTGGCAGGAAGTGGGTGTTCACAGGCCAGGTAGCCTCTGGCTCTGGGGCTTGGGCCTGGGCCAACCCCTAGGGGGACCGGGCAGTGACAGGCCCATCCTCCTGAACTGGCTTTCCCACTTCAGGCCGTCTCAACTTCTTCCCAGCCCGAGACCCTCATCTCTACCCGCGTTCTCTCTCTCACATCCTCTGACTCACTGCATCCACTCTTACCTGCCCCGGACGCCTTGCACACTCTCCTTCCGCTGACGTCCAGCTCGGGTCTCCAGGCCCTTGCCCAGTGGCTCCTCTCTGGGGAGTAATGACCTGTGCTGGGGAATTTGGAACAGAACGGATCAGGTTCAGGAAGAGGCTCAGGCCAAAAGGGGCTGAAAGAGGAGGGAGCCACTCTGTTTGGAGATGATGAATCTGGAAACATGAACCCAAGACCAGGCCAGGAGCCTCCCCGTCCCCGATCCCCAGAGCAGGCGTCCTCCTGACTGAGTGGGTGATCAGTGAGTCCTGGGCAGAGAGCTCGCCGCGGGGCCACCGTGGACGTGGACTGGCATCTGTGGACACTGGAAAGTTCCCACAACACAGCTCCAACGTGGTGGGATGATGGCTGGGCCTGTTCAGACCCAGGCGGCCCACATCTGGAGGCATCCTGTGCCCCCACAGGCGGTACCTCACTGGTGCAAGCGAGGCGCTAAAGCACAGCTGGAAGACGGCTGCCATCAGAAGGATAGGGCATCAAAAACATGTTTTTATGGGTACAAAAGTATGCTGCCATGCTTTGCTTGGCTACTGATGAGACAGCATTAATGAGGAAGAATTAGTTCATTATTATCATATTGCATGGGGAAAAAGCCCTCCACTACTTGCTGAACTTTGGAGAAATGTCCAGAAGGGTTTGGGCTCACCTTAAAGATTTACTAATACGTTGGCAAATGTTGATGTGAGGACCAAAAGGAGCAAAGGAGAGGAGCAGATTGTGCAGAGCTGATTCTCTTTAAAAAGCCTGGGGGTGGGGGCTGGATGCCAGAGAACGAGCAGGGGAGCCGCAGGATCCTTAGGGCTTCATTTCAAGGACTTCTGGTACACCTACGTCTGCTCCCTTTGGAAACTAAGGATGACAAAAGATGTTGGCCTCTGTATCACATATCAAAGACCTATTTTAGGTAGAAGAGGGAAATGAGAGAAAGAACAAAAAGAACAAAACCAAACCAGTCTCCTTAGGAAAAACCACATCTGTGCAGCAAATTTGAGGTTTACATTTATTGCTCAGCAGGGAAGAGCTGTTTAAATCCTCCAAAGCAAACAGACTGGCACCAAGCCTTCTGGGAAGACCAGGCAGTTTTCTTTTGACAACTCATTTGCTGGATCCTAATTATACTGTAGGTTTGGGTTGTTGTCATTGTTTGTTTATTTAATATCAAAGTCAGGGGGCAAGTCGGTTGGAACAGGATTATACAACATTCAATCCACCCAGGTCAGAAACTCAGGACATTCAAGTTTGTGTGCACCATCTGGAGAATCCTTAGAGCTACCTTTAAAAATAAGGTGCCTCCATCAAGGGCCCTTGCTGGCTGAATTCTGCTGACAGTGGTATTTAAGATCTGCTCTTACATTTCATCAGCCCAGTGGCTCCTCCTCTGATGTTCAAGAATCCAGAGATTTCACTTTGCTGTTCCACAGCTTCTTAGCTCTCTACCTTTTTTGACCACCACGGCATCAAACTTGTGCCAATCAGCAAGGTCTCCAGACCAGTCTGGGCTTCTGATGCTGAGTAGGCTTGGTACCGGGGCCCTGCCTCTGTGGATTTATCATCTCCCTGCCTATCATACCACTGCACCTAGAGCATGCTTCCTGAAGCTGGCAGTAGGCATGCAATGCCCAGAGGCACCAAGCCCCCAGAGACCTGACAAGCTTGCCTGAGCCCTGCCTGAAAAATGTGGCTCATCTTCGCACTGTGGTGAGGGAAACAGCGACCTTAATTGGTTCTGACTTCAGCATTCAGATCATCGTTTTCCCTGGAGGTGTGCATCATAGGGAACAATATTACTGAAGCCAAGTCCTTTCCAAATGACAGAAATTAATCAAATTCCATGATCATTCGTAATGGGAAAAGAGAAGGGAGCATTTGAACATTTAATTACAATATTTTGTAATTGTTAAATCACCAGTGACATTACAAAATGCTCTCGGTGAGCAGATGCACAATGTATTTCTACATGAGAAGGCGGCCATGCTCAGCAAAAAAGGAAGCAATCATAGGCGCCTCTACTCCTCCTTCATCTTCCCCCAAAGGGACCAATTCAGATAGATAATTTGACTAGGTTGTTTTTAATTACATTGTAAACATTTAAAAAAATCTGGGATAAAGGTGAACATAAGTCAGTTGGTAATAAAAATGCAGGCTCCAATTCTTCTTGGATGACAGATGAAATGAGTTTAATATATTCTTGCTCTGCAGAAAGCAGAAACATTGAAAATGGCAAACAACTGAATTCAATTAGCAGACCTTGTTTAAAATGACTTGGAGACGTGCAGGGCGAGGAACTCGTGTTACCCACCCACTGCGGCACTGGGGAGGCACCGAGGCTCCTGGCTGGTAGCACTTGGTTGGAGGAGCGGTGTGGCTCAGTCTCTCTGCTTTCCATGCAGTGTATCTGGCAGGCAGATCCCTGAAGAGAGTTGACTGCTAATGTTTTCAATCCCTCACCTTACACAAGCGCTTAATTCATCAGAAAGATATAAAAGCAGAGAAAACACATTCAGTGTTGAAAGATGTACTACTAACTGCATCGCTTTCAAATGCAAGTAAATCCCAACAGTAGAACACAATTCCAAAATTTCTCCCACTAATAAATCAATCAGCAATTGTCGGTGGGTCCTGTGCAGGGCTTCCCCCACCTGAAGAGTTGGCCCCTGTGTGACACCCGGCCTGGGCTAACCTGGAGTTTGGAAAATGGAGTATCTGTTTGTTTTGCAGGTGAGGCTTTTGCTGTGGCATTCAAGGGATGTGTTTTCCATCCCTTTGCATGGCCATGATTTTTATAGCCCTGGAAATACATAAATAGCGAGGTTCACACGTCATTGATTTGACCAGCTAGTAGGAAGAGCAGAAAACTGACCTGAGCAGGAACCACATTGTTATCTGCATACCTGGTCCTCCCTTTGCTTAAGTCATTGGTAACTGTGTTTCCTGAAGGAAACGTCCAAGTTGGCCCTGGAGGCTCAAAAGTATGATTTACTTAGGTGATCAGAACACTTAGGAGTTTCCTTGACCTTAACAGTGGGAAGATTCCAGCAAAGACCTTCAGTATTTGTGTGGAACCTGCACTTAATTTATGAGAACTGAACTCAGGTGCTCAAAGGGTGAGGGAGTAGCCAAGCCAGGCCACCACACTTCAGTGACACAGGCCACACTCTATTCAGTGGGAGGGACTGGACAGGGGGTCTGCCCAGCTCCCTGCGGGGGAGTTTCTCCCGCTGTCACATCCAGCAGGAGGCGTTCAGAGATCCTCACCTCTCTTCAGGTCTGTGCCCTCAGCTCAGCGGAGGATGAGAAGTGGGGCTCTTAGCGAGAAATGGGGGAGTCAGTGCTGGTACAGTGGGAGGCAGAGTAACTGTTTCACTGACTGGGGGCCTATGCCAGTCAGTGTCATGGCCTTTGTTTCTGGGAAGGGGTCAGGTCAGCATAAGTAAATGTGAGTAACACCTTCATAAGGACACAGCAGGGTACATTTTCTCAAGCGTATGGTGCATGATACGTGAGGATCTTGCAGTCATCAGCCACAGATAAACAAGATTACTCGTCTATGTTTTCCCCTCGGTTTTTGGTTATGTCCCTCTGCCCCTACATTCCATTCTGGGAATGTCCAGATTCTGTGTTCTCCTTTTTAAATTCTGTTCTTCAGCTATCCCTTCCCCACCTTTTGTTGTTGAGATGGGCTCTTGCTGTGTTGTCCAGGCTGGTCTTGAATTTCTGGACTCAGGGATCCTCCTGCCTCAGCCTCCCGAGTAGCTAGGACTAAAGGTGCATACCACTGCTTCCAACTTGAACCCCTCTCTCTTAATTCAAAACACTGTCTACTGTCAACTTTCATTCTGAATGTAGGGATCTTTCTGTGCACTTAGTGGATATCACCGTAGCAGAAGATAGTACTGGAGCTACCCTGGGAAACCAGAACAAGCCTGGGGGGAGAAGTGCACCTCCTGGAGGTCGCAGTGCAGGACGGGGCCCCAGACACAGAAAGCTCACCCAGAAGTGGTCCATGCTGGGCAGCGGGGCTGGCAGCTGCAGGGAGGGGTGAACCCCGCGGGCACCGCAGGTGGGGCTCCCAGTGCTTCCCCACTAAGCTCCCACGGGGCTCGGGCTGCGTGTGTGCAGAGCGGGCTCCTGAGGGGCACAGGGCCACTGTGAGAAAGTGAGGGCTCCCTCTACGCTTGGGGGTGTTAACAAGCTGTCCCACGTGGCTGCCTCGGGCCCCTAGAGAAGGACTTCATTAGTGACACTGCCTCAGGGAGCACGCGGAGTACAGCAGGGTCAGCCCCTCTCTCCAGAGGAGAGCGCTAACTGAGCTGGCAGTCAGGAGAGCAGGGTCGGCTCCGCGGTGGGCTCTCAGACGCCTTCCGCTCCCGTCCCCGGTCCCCGTAGGTACGGGGCGAGGTGGGGAAGACTGTGTGTGCTTCAGGCTCAACGGCCTTTTCAGTGGATGTGTTATCGTTTATTTTAATTGCCTTCTACAAGATACGTCCACGGAGGACATGTCCCCAAAGATGCTGCGGAAGCTGACGGAGAACGCTGAGACGGTTTAAGAGCTCGCTGCCGACTGTGCTGGCACCGGTGTCGGCCGGCCTGAGCAGAGAGCCGGCAGGCGTCAGTGAACAGCCGGGTGTGACTTCGACTTCACAGCTCCAGAGGCAAAAGGTTGGCTGCGACCTTCACGGCCTGGCAGCTGAGCTCCCCTCGCTGCGAGGCACACTGGCCTTCCAGACCACACCTCCCGCCGCACGTGATGGCGGAAGGGCCTAGGGCTTTCCGGGGAGACGGTCAAGCATTCTCACACTGGGCCTCTTTCATCGATCAGTTTTCCATCAAATAAGACTCAGGGATTTCTTTACCAAATTAAAAGACTATTCACGCTGGAGTATGTTGAGGGCCTTTCTGAACACACCTTGAATTTCTTGTAATTCCAGAAGGCCTTCTGCTGTTTCCGAATGAATCCTCACGACCCTAACAGCCTGCACACGACCCGACATACTCTCTTTATCCCCAGAAGAGAGCAGATTTGGGTGCAACTGCCCGGTTTCTTACCACTGTCTTGACTGCAGCAAATCGCTGTTCCCCGGCCCTGGGCTTTCTCTTCTGGTCCTGTCAACAAGGAGGCCAATTAGTGTCCATTATAGCAATGGACTGGTGATGTGGAAAATTTCCCAACTGCAACTGGACTGAAAGCCCCCATTAATCCCACAGGACCTAGAAAAGCATTTGACTCCTTTGTGATAATTGCATAAGCTTGCCCTCTTCCACAACAAAGGCCCTCATACTTACAATTATTAAAACCATCATTATTATTTCCATGTAAGACAATGACCGCGTGTGCGGCAGTATTTCAGCACACTGATGGAAGTCAGCCAGCCAACTTACTTCTCCCCCAGTGCTTTTCACGATCCTTGCCGGCGCCCCGTCTCTTCTTGTATCCATGTACAAATGCAAAGTGCGTCCCAGCGGCAGTGGCTCCAGGTGAAGCCATCGGACTACAAGTCCAGAGGATTCCTGACCGACCAGGGCCGCCCTGAGCCAGGCCGGCTCTCAGGCTGGTGCCCCGCGGCACAGCCTGGGTGTGTAGTTCTCCCTGTGGCGAGCACTCGGGAACGGTGTGTTGACTCGGGAAGGCCCTGGCAACCTGGGAGTTGTCCCATAAATACTGTTTTTTGCAACCTGGGTAGACTTAAGCTGCTATAAAAAGGGAAACCAGACCTCTTTTCTTTAAGCCAACATACCGAAACTGAACCAGAGGGCCCCTGAGGAATACGCACAGGAGCATGTGAATTAACTAGGTGTTACCTGGGAATGGTGGGACCAAGTGACCGTTACGTGAAGAGCAGAATTTTCTACTTGCAGCGGTGCTGCGCATCTCACAGGAGAGGAGGCTGCTGCATTTGGTTGCCTCAAAGACAGAGCTTACTTCAGAGTCGCTTCCTGGAGAGACAATGGGAAGGCAGAAATCACTCTGAAGTGCAAGAGGCCTCTCTCTGACCATGTTCTATCCTTGTGACCTTGTCGGGCTGGCACATAGCAGAGCTTCTGGCAAGGCAATGAGGCTGGGGGAGGGTAAGGAAGGAGCCACGTCCATCCCTTAGCAAAACTCATGGAGTAGGAGAAGAGGGTGGGTGGAAGGTTGCAAGGGAATGGGCTCAAATACTGCCAGCATTCACATCTTCTCTAGATGACTTGATTTCCACTGCAGCAACAAAGGCCTGCATGTTGGCCCAAAGAGCTCGGAAATTCTCAGCATTAGTTGTCCGTTGGCTTGAGGCTGGCCTGTAAAAGGCCTACAAAGCACAAATACGTGGAGAGAGGCAAGAGTCACTCATCAGTCCCCACAGCAAGGACCTGGGAGAGAAGGTAAGAGCCCAGGAAGGCCGTAATGGCACCGGCAGGGGCCAGAAGGTCAGACGCCTACAGCTGCCTTGTATTTTGAACTGTATTTATTCATTAGTAGGACATGAACTGATTCAGTGCAAGGTAGCTAGCCTTTAACACAGGAACTTGAGCCAGGGATGGCAGTGCACATCACGAATCCCAGCACCCTGGAAGGCTGAGGTAGGAGGACTGCAAGTGCAAGCCCAGCCTGGGCAACTTGGTGAATTAGAAAGGCCCTATTTAAAAAAAAAAAAGTAATGACAAAAAAGGACTGGATATATAGTTCAGTGCAAAAAGTCCTTGGTACAATCCCCAGTACTACCAAAAAAAAAATTTTTTTTAACAGAGCCTACCGAGCATATTTTTATGCAGCTATCTGTGTGCATACATGGGTGGGTGGATACACTGGGTTGAAAGTATTGTGGGCAGCTGTGTTTGTGGAGCTGTCAGGCAGCAGGAGCACAGGTACAAAGATGCACAAGAGCACCAAAGCTGAAGGGACAGGAAGCACTTTTGCCCCTTCACAATTTTGCTAAGGCCTGGCCTAATGATAACAGCACAGTACCTCTTAGCTGATAAAGCTGTTTTTCAATTGAAAAAATAAAATTTAGCAAAACACTCCTATAGGGCAAAGGAACACATTCCCTCCTTTCCATTCCCCAGCACATTATCTATCCCTTCTCTCCCGCCCCTCCTTCTTTGTAAAAAAGCAAACCGGAGGACACTAACTTTGTTCTGCACCTTGCTTCCTTCACACATTTTTTCAGAGTGTAAAGTGCTACTTCACTCTTTTATTCTGCAGCATAATATTTCATTATATGGGACACGGTAATATTTCTGATAACAGTCTAGTCTTTTGCTTGTTATAAACAATGTTTCAGTGAACATTCTCATTCATCTTACTTTCTCGTTGCTGAGACAAAATACCTGCCCACAAATGAACAGAGGAAAGATTTATTTTACCTCACAGTTTGCAAAGGTTTCAGTCCATAGTCAGCTGGCTCCCAGGCAAGGTGGCACAGCAGAGGAGAAATGGTTCATGGCAGGGCAGCAGCAGCCGTGGCAAGTCTTCCTTCTTCCCCTTTTATCCTGTCCAGGTTACAAGTCTATCGGTTGGTGCCACGCACACCCCGGTGGGGATTCCCTACATCCACACTCAGCACTGTGCTAAACCAGTCAATGGGCTGATTATCACACACCCTTAATCCACAGGCACACATTTTACATCCAGCCACTGCTGCAAAGCCCCACCTGTGAGCACATGAGGCTTTGGGGGGATGCTGAGACACAAGTCACAACACTTGTACCTTAGCATCTACGGGCAAATTCCTGGAAGTGGAGCCCCCATGTCACAAGGTCTACGCACTCTGGATTTTGACAGACAGTGTCCTATTTCCCTCTGTTGAGGGTGGACCACAGTAATCATGACATTTTGCTGCCTGAACACTGCAGCCGATCTCCTCACCCATCCAGTGCCTCCCTGGAACTTCCACTGCCAAAAACTACCTCGTCCGTGTCTTGTCGCAGCATTCCTGCTCTCTCACTTCTGGTGCTCCGCCCATACTTTAAGAAGAAATAAAAACCTTTTGAAAGACAGTCTTTGAGGACAGTTATAGAGTAACTTCTTGGTTATAGTCATGTCAAAAGGGCTGTTCAATGAACATCTTATAAAAATTTAATTGTGCTTTAATGTGGATTAAAGTGGGAGAAGATAGAGTGCTAGTTTTCTGCAAACATACCTTTAACACTACCAGATAACCAGCTCTGGGAAGGCTAAGCAGCACGTATTTGCCCTGGATTTTGCCCATGGCCAGATTTCTGTATTGATAGACATTACCCTGCAGGCAGTAATCAGACCATGTTCACTGCTTTGTTCTCTGTACATGTTGGTGGAACACCTAGTGGTTCTCCTTGCAACTTCTAGGTGTTGATTACATCCATATTTAGTAAAGAAAGGGAAAATCTTTTTGAGTAGTACTTAGTGGGTATTTGGCTTATTAAACATATGACCTATTATAATCCTAATAACTTGAAATTTTGTATTTGGAACATACTAAAAAAAGCAAGTATTGCCATCCTATTATTAAAGAGTTCTTCACTGTTAAGCTAATGGTAAGGTCATTTTTTTTTTTTACTAAGGTTATTTTGAAGATGGAGAAAATTTAATTAAAAAAATCTGTTTGTCTTCACATCAAAATTAGAAAAGTAACCTTTCCATCACTTTCAGTTAAGTCACATTTGGCTTCCTTCAGTGAATAACAGTTTTCCGAAGATTAAGCAACACATTGAAATATTCTCACACTTCAGAGGATGGAAAATGTGATGTGCTCCTAAGCCAACATCTGCATACTAGACACAAATTTAAAATATGCTGGAGACACAGTGATTATAGTTTTAGTACAGGGATCGCCGTGACCATGGCCACATACCAGATACGATGAACATTTCTCTTCCAAAAGCAACATTCCTAAAGAGGCAGATACAGTTAAAGTATGTTTAGGATTGCCCCACAAGCCTAGATAAGCTGTTGACTGTCCAGTGTTAGCTCCTCCTTACTAGGGCGCTTTTTCTCAGCAGCTCAGTGAAAGGGGAGACTCTATAAATATGTACCTAACAAGGCATGTCAGCAGCCTCAATGGAGCAAACCAGTCCCAATCCGAGAAGCCTAATAAATACATGAAGTTGAGCACTTACTGCCAACAATCATGTCACCGGGGCCACGGAGAGCAGAGCTGTGCAGCTGGGAAGGGGAGGAGCCTGCAGCGAGAGAAGGGATGGAACGCGCCCAGGTTTGGTTATTTATGGTGTGCTGAAGAAGAGACAACTTTCCATATGAGGAACAGCCTAACAGAGGAACAGTCCGGCCAATCTAGGAAGAAGTCCACGAGAGAACATGCAACAAAAGGGGACATGAATAAAAATGACAGATAATAAAACAACACGAATCTAAAATGCTGTAACTTTTCAAAATAATTTAGGGCTAAAAGAAAAAACAATCTAGTCTTGTTGGCTCTGGGACAGTTTCCCAAGAAGCAAAAGACATGAAACAAAATCAAAGTGCTGAACTGACCCCAAATTTGCCTTGGTGCCTTCCTAGCCAGCTGTAAGTTTGGTTGCTTCTAATGCTGATTTATTCATGAAAAGCAAAGCAGCGATTCTGTATTTAGCTGATGCATCCATTTTCCCCCAACAAATACCTGCTGTGCATTATTTCATACGAGGTAGTGCACTTAAGGGCTTTGTGCTCAACAAGGCAGCCCCTGCCTTCAAGAGGCTTCCGTCTAGAGTGGGAAGCAGAGTTCACTGCGGGCTTCTGGATGGGGGTGGTAGGTGTACTGACAACAGCTAGACTGGCGGCCAGAGAAGACCAGGGGGTGGCTTCAGGGAGGGGCTGGCTGGCTGCTGAGACCCGAGGACTGTGGGACCTGAGACCTGAGGATGTGAAGCCTGGACAAGATCATCTGTGCTGCTGACTAGGAAGAGACACTTAGCAAACCTCCAAGGGACCCCAACGTGTTTTAATAGTTATTTAAAAATTCAAATGTATTTTTTATGCAAAGATGCAAATTTCTGTTGTTCTTAGTTTTTACCTTTAAAAACCTACCTGAGCTGTTTCACATTATCTTTATATGGTATAAGATATCTCTTTTTCCAAATCTGACCAAAATCTAACAAATACCAGTCACCTATTAGTATGTGGCCCAAGTGTCTGGGCATTTTATTTGCATCTCACAGCCCCTTTTACAACCTTGAGGTGGGGCCACGGCTTTCACTTTAGGGGAGGGCACGGAGCCTCAGAATGTCAGTCTCGCAAGATCACAGGAAATAAGGACTGGAGCACTTTATTTTCCCCTTCATGGCCTTTGGGTTAAGTACAGTTTGAGACTGTGCCACTAACACTTCTACACCCAATGAAGGCAACGAGCAGCCCCAAGTTACACCATTCTCACCGAGGAAGCACTGCTCTAACTTTAAGGGCCAGAAACCCCTTGTCTTGGGAGGCACTGGGGCTGTACCCACTGTCAGGCAGGGAGATCTCAGAGAATCTGAGAGTACAAGTCTTGCATTTTCAATGACCCCTACTTCCACCTCCAGGCATCCAGTGAGGACTTCTGGACTCCAAATTTCCTTCTCTCTTAAAAACAGTTATCTCAGGGGGTGTGGTGTTGGTACACACCTTTAATCCCAGCACTTGGGAAAGCTGAGAAGGGTTGCAATTCCAAGCCCAGCCTGAGTGACTTAGCAAACTATGTCTCAAAACAGAAAAGAAAAAGGGATGGGATGTAGCTCAGAGTGAAGGCCCTGGGTTCAATTCCCAGTACAACAAACCGGGGATGTTGACCCTTCCACTCTTGTCTTGCCTGCCCCCACCTCAAGGATCCATGCCCTGATGAGTTGCATAAATTTAGCTAGGATTACTCTCTTACTAAGCCCAAACAAATTCTAGGAGGGGATCCAGCCAGAGCACTTAATCATGAGCTAATCATATCTCCTGCCTTCCTGTTTCTGTAACTCTGCTTCTTGCCTGAGACTGTCCAGACTCTTGCTGTACAACACGGTTAAATGCTGGTCATAGTTGGGTTTCTCCCCAACCAAGGGGAGGTCAGACTCTCCATGCCATGCTGGATGGGTGCTTTCTGCCTCATACTTACACCTCCACACACACCTAGATTCACTATTCTGCCCTTGGCCAGTTGGAGAGTATTTCTGAAATACTAAGTATCTGAGGACTGAGCAGTCTATAAATTTCAAATCAAGGTTTGAATTTAAGCTTCATGGTTTGAATTCAGGTAGTATTCTTGGTAGTTCTCATTCGGTAATGTCTCCAGGACCAAGAAACAAACACATAACTGCCCTGAATGGTACAGCTATTTTATTACAAACCTGCGATTCAAGAAATACAAACAGTGGTGGTCGGACGTTATCACTATACATTAAGGGAAAGTGTGATCCATCAATATACCATGAAAATTCAGAGGATTCTGAACTTTTTCTCAAGTTTATAAAATTTTGCAAAATACAGAAGATTGAGTTTTACCTTTTCTATTACTTCAACCACACTGTATCTGTGAACATTTGCTCTTAAAACCAGGCATTAAGCAGGGTGACTTAAGACCCACTGGCTTATCACATCGAATTTAGCTTTTCTTCTGCTGGCTAACTTCTTTTAGCACAGAAAAATGTTTGGCTCACGCCTGGGCCAAGGTTCAGCCCGAGGGACGGCCATGTGCATGGCGCTTTCACCCACAGGCAGGGGTTTTAGTGGGCCGGGTGAGCAGACTCCCGGCTCTCAGAAAATGACCCTGCAGACAGGCCAGCCACGCACTTCAAACGGCAACTTTTCCGATTCAAGGTAATTTTCCGGGAATTTAAAAGGCAATCGTTTACTCCCAACTTTCAAAGAGAACATGGCTTGAAAGCATAGTGGTATCTAAAATTGATCAGCCAGCAACAATCCTCTGAAGTGACTGCAGTGAAAGAATAGTCGAGACACCTACACATCTGGACTGAGCAATCTGGCTCACTTTCCAGGTCGTAAATTTTCTAACCCCAGAGACTATTTGAAAATAAGTTTCTACCAAGAAAGTGGATTTTTTTTTTCATGCTGAAGTATTAACATTTTTTTGTTATTTTGATATGGAACACTATAGCTATATGACTTGCCAAGAACTAATCTTCACTTAAGAAAAGAGAATTTAAGAGAAAAATTATAAAAAAAAATCTGTTTTAAAAACATAGATTTTAAATTATACTAAATGACAACCTTATTAAAGATTGTTTTGCAGCATATTCAAATAAACCAGAAAATGTAATAAATACCAACATTTACCATATAATTTGATGCTATGGCTATACTGAAATGGAATTGCCAGCTGGATGTAAGCAGAGGACATCTGAGGGAAAGGGCGCGCGCACACACACACATGCACACACACACGCACACACACTTTACTGAAAACTGTATTTGCAGAACAACCTATACTCTTCTACATTTCAATCTTCAATTCTGATCTTTTCATTTATTCTGAAATAAAATCTAAGATATTAAGAGTCAGTACACAGAACTTTAAGCTAAGACTGCATATGGTTAGAAAAATATGCACCCATGGCATATACTTTATTTTATAAGAAAATAAACCTATATACAAAAAGCACTTCTGTTCATTAATGTTCATCCTAACTTTTTCTGATTCATATAATTAAGCACCACCATAAACAAAGCTTTGAAAGAAAGGTGCTAGCAAAATTCTCTTCAGCCCCAGTTTGCCTGAGTTTCATTTGCCAGTTTCCCTGGAAATGTCTATCACTCCTTGGTTCGAGAACGTACTCAGAATATCCCAAAGCCTGGAGGGGTCCTCACAGTTGTGGTGGCTCTCCCAGTGAAGGAAGAGCTCCTCCTTCCTCCCCAGGGTCTGGGCACACAGCAGGCAGCTGAAGCCAGAATGAGACCAGAGGAAGACAGAGTGGGGGCTGCCACACTCTGGGCCCTGGCGGTCTTCCCTCAGCTCCTTTGTTTCCAGTTGGCCTCCTTCATTTTCCTTGAGTATTTCCACATCCTCCTCACGGTGAAAGGAAAGTTGTCTTTTCATCTTAGGAAGCACAAGAGAGTCTTCCTTAGAGGCACAAAGCTTCACCTGCTTTCTTCTCTCTGGATGCTGTTTCCAGTCGGGAATAGTGTGTTTGGCCAGTGCTTCCTGAGCCCCTCTGTGGCTGGGTGAGATTCCTTCTTGCAGCCTGCCCTGAATTTCCTCTCCATGAACATAAAGTAAATGAAACTTGATTTCAGCAAAAGACTGAGCAGTGATCTGACAACGGCCACATTTGATTTGTAACTTGACTTCATCTGCCTGGTTTAGAAGGAAATCTTCCTCGAAGGTTGACTTGCTTTCCCTGAAAAGGAAAAAAGAGTCTACATAAGATTTCATGGAAAAACACAACTGGGACTTGTGCCTTCAGGGATCTAAGCCATACCCCTCCGCAAAGTGGGAAGCATGGGTACACAGAGCCTGGGAAGGACTTCAGCAGCAGCCATGGTGGACACCTGCGGTCACTCCTGCTGGGGGCCATATACTTCTCAAGCAACCAGGGTCCCGCTGGAAAGTCTGTCCCTCCCTAGGAGAGCCACTTCTCTCTAGCCACCACAGGACAGGTCAGGCTATGTACTACACCAGCTGCTGTAGGATCATCTGGAAAGGTCTGAGGGGACTGTCCCCACCACCCACTGTTCCCTCCCTAATCTTGAGCACCTCCAAAGGCAAGTCTGGACATTTTACTTAAACATCAAAATCTAACTGTAGGAAAACAAGCAGGGAGAGGGATTTCCTTGTACACTGGTGAAAAGCACAGAAATGGGAAAGGGAACAGAAGTGCCTAAGAAAAAGAGAGAACCCTAGGAAGGTAAGAACAAAGATGTCAGGCACCTCTTATTTTTACTGAATAGGATAGAGCAAGTCAAAATTGAATAGAAAGTATTTCGAGCAACTGGGAAAATAAGAAACAAGAGGCAGAGAATCTGAAGTGTGAGAAAAGTTTTCTTCTCAGGTGCTGAGAGAATCCCCCTTGGTGTGGGGAAGGGGTACACACAGCCCACACTGAGGGTTCTGCTGGTCAAATGCCTAATTACTGCCAGCCTTCCAAATGATGAAGCTTAGTTGTTTATAATGCTAGAAAGCAGGCTCTGACTTAGGAAAAAATCAATCTGGCCCGATGGGAAAAATAGGGCCCATGCAGAGAGGGTTAGCTCTGGGCACCTGAGGTATGTATGTTCAGTGCAGTACGCGGCAGATGAGGCTGTTTAGATATAAATTCTATGCACAGGAATCTGGGGGAAATTACTTGTTTTTTTTTTTTTTTTTTTTTTTTGGTACCAGGAACTGAACTCACGACCTTGCGCTTGCCAGGCAGGCGCTTTTGCCGCTGAGCTAAATCCCCAGCCCCAAGGGGGGGGGGGAATTACTTGTACAGATTACCATGAAATATATACAATAATTCACTATTTTATTTTCAGATATAAAAATAATCTCTCACTGAATTGTCCCCAGAATACCTCCAACTGGCATTTATACCAATATATACAGGTTACAGTAATTAAAATAATGACTGACCAGAAACCAGAGAGAAATGAGATCACTCTTCACAGAACTGCAGGGAGTAAAACCTTCTTCCTGAATGTGAAATTTACCCCCTTCCCCAATGAAAACGGACCCTTGGCCAGGCTCCCTGCCTATCTGTACTCACTGCTGCAGAGCTGCCTCTCTCCCTGGGTCGCCGGTGCCCCTGTCTCTGCTCTTCAGCATGTCTTCCGGCTGCGGCTCACTAGGGGTGGGCTCTGTGCTGATCACAACCCTGTGCACTTCTTTCAGGTGGCCAAAATAGACCCGCACGTGGCCGAACACTTTTGCGCAGAACTCACAGCACACACGTTTCTTCAGACGGTTCTCACCATGATGGAGCCTCATGTGTGTGCTCAAGCTGCCGGAGCGTACGTAGGCCTTGCGGCAAAGACGACAACTGTAAGGCCGTCTGTCGGTGTGTGTGTTCATGTGGTCTCGAAGGTGCTGTTTGAACTGGAAGTGGTGGTTACAGACCTGACATCTGTGCCAAGGTTTCTTGACACCAGAAAATCCATTTCTGAACACAGAGTTGGGCTTGGGGGAAGGGCTGTCACTCTGCTTACAGCTGAGACACTTGGACGTGATGGACTTACTTAACAAGACGTCCTGCGCCAGGCTGCTGGTTGTCTGGGACGGCAGAGTGGCTGCAGGCGAGGCCAGGGAAGGCAAAGCAGACAGGACGATTATAGGTTTGGGCATAATGCTACGATATTTTTTCAAAGCCCCGGGTTTTTGGTCTTTGGATTCTTGGAGAGAGTTTTTTGCTTTCTCTTTGGCATCTCTGCATTTATTACTAATGCTTTTCTTCCTTTTTCCCTGAAATGCCAAAATGTCGTCTGGAACCTTTCGCTTTCTGCCTCTTCTCTTTGCTGCTCCAACATTCAGTTTTGTTTTGTGGGTGAGCTCTGTTTTGGTGACTGGACAAAAGGCACTTCCACAAAGAATCTGCTTTGGTACTGGTGGTACAGGTGCCTTGCTGGCCATTTTGGGGGCTGCACTGAAGCCTTCTATGACGGAGGCTCTCCTGTCACAGCCTGTCCTGTGCTCAGGTGAAGAAACGTCTGCAGTGTTCGTGTCTGACCCAGGCTTGCAGACGTCGGCTGCCTGCACTCTCGTGTAGGGTAAGATCGGCACTCTACCTTTGAGAACTGACGGGATCAGCTGAACCACACTGCCCAGAACGGCTGGCGATGAACTGCTCATGGCTTTTCCTTGATCTGCTTGTTCTTTAAGTTTTCCTCCAGCAACAGCAGAAGGTTCCCTATGCTCTTTCTTGCTTGTATGGTTTGCTCTCCCTGAACTGTCTGAGCGACTCCGCTTGGCAGAGGGCTGTGCTGGTGTGGACGGGGCTGCTGCGGCAAGAGGGTTCAGATCTCTGCAGCTGTTGGTCGCTGGAGGTGTCATGCTTCCACAGCCACCGTCCTCAGCCAGTGGGGCTGCGCTGGCCCTCACGGGGGCTTGGTCTGGTGCTGGCATCTGCCTGCACGGACTAGGTTTCTGTGGGAGTTCAGGATGGGCCGGCAGGGAAGGCGACATCTCACGGCACGTCTGGGTGTGGGCAAGAGACTTGCTGCAGCCACTTTCAGGAGAGCTCAGGCCAGGCTTCTTTCCTGGCCCTTTGGTACTTCGGAGGGGCTGGTATCGAGGAATAGGCAGTTTGAGGTTTTCAGGCATTCGGGGTTTCTGGACTGGCTGAGCTGAGGCAACAGGCGGCAAAGCAACAAGAGAAAACGTGCCCTCCTGGCCAGCCACCTGCATTAGCGCATAGTTCTGGGTGGGCACCCCCACTGGCTTGGGGCTCATGGAGGGCCCCAAAGTCCCCTGCTCAGAAAGCGATGGTGAGTGACATGGAAGCACTCTGGAGGTCAGGACTTTAGGTGCAAGTTTTGGTGCAATGGTCCTAAACTGACTCTTACTCTGCAAACTCTTCCCACTCTGTCCCGTTCCAGAGGAGATGTTTATGTCACCTGCAAGGACAACACAATATAAAAAGTGACTGGACAGTAGCTGTCCTGGTATGGACGGTTAAGTAAGTGTCTCATTTATTCTGCCTAGACCAGATCCTTGCTTACCTCCCGCCTTTCTGAGCAAATGCCTATGTCTTCAAGACCCAGATGGAAGGTCAGTTCCTACCCAGCTCCCCCGAAGATGGCTCTCCTGCTCTGCAGTTCCTAGCCCCTAGCATACCGCTGACCACTTTTCGTCATACTTTATGTGCTTGTGCCTGTATCGTCTGCTACACACACAGCTCCAGAGGGCTGGGACTCTGTCTTTCTCATCCCTGCGACCTGCATGTCTACCCTCTCCATTTACCCAGTTCTTCCCTAGCTACACAAGCCAGGGCAACTCTGCCTCCTTTTCTGATCTCATGAGCTGGGCCGTCTCTCCTCTGGTATATTCTGCTGTATATTCAATTTATGTTATACACATGCCCTGTTACATAAGCTTGATGAGAATGAAACCTGTATTTATTTATCTTGATATTATCCACTGTGTCTCTGGTATGGAACAAACATTTTTTGTATCCAATTCATTTTTTACTCCATTTCAGGATACATCATTTGACCCACTAGGAGTGCAATTTGTTTTACACTGTGGATGAATTCCAGACTGAACGCTAGCTTTGTTGCTGTTTCCCCATGTGACCTGTGAATTTCTTCTCACACCTGTCAAACTGTTTATGTGTGCTTTTGCAATTAAGTCACCAGTATTAAAAAAGCTGATGTGACGCCTTTAAAAATGTTGGACAAAACCAAAAAGATACAAAGTGATAGGTGAAGATGTAGAGGCTAAATAAAAAGTACATGAACTCTTCAAAAAGTACCTTCTAGGATACTAATAGGAACAATTTAAACTGATAGAATAACGTTCTATTCTCCCCAGATTTATTAGCTTGATCAAGGACCAATTACTACAACCAGAAGAGAACAATTAAGGAAACATTTCAGTGCCCTGCTCCTAAGGACTGAATCGTCTGTTTTATTCCCTGAGGTCTCCAGGTCACAAGGCCTGGCTGCAGAAAAGTTTCTCATTTCTAAGTACCTCATATTAATCAACCTTCACTCCAACTGACATTTACTAGGCTCCTATGTTACTCTAGAAATTGTCTCTTATAAGCCTAAAAGTCCTTTTCTGAAACTGCCGGGGCCACGCGTTTCAGAATTCCCACATTAAGATTTTAGCGAAGTAACAAGACGTACACAGCAAATGTTATGTAACACCCAGCAGAACTCGCAGGGCACCCACAATTAAACCTGCTGCCACTTCTACAGCAAAATGTGTGCCTTTTCACAACAAAGGAGTCAAATGAAGAGCTTCAAACTGTCTTATTTTGTTTTAGGTTTTGCCTTTGAAAGAGGTTGGTACCCAACTTCTAATGAAATTTTGTTTTCACAGTTTGCTAGGTCCTGGGGTTGTGCAAAAAGGATTGAAGAACTATTTTTCGGGGGGTTACTAAGAATATAAAAGCAGGAGGCTGACAATCTAGTGAAATAGTTAATTAAATTTCAAAATCAACCTTGACTTGATTGCCTAAGTTAATAAACTAATAATTTTACCTGCAAGTTATTTGTTTTAACAAAACTTCAATGCTCCAAATAAATCAGCAGCATTGTGGGAGTAAGTTCAAAAGTACTTTGAGCAACTTCTTTTGAGCAAGTGACCAGTGTCTGGTGAAGGCAAAGGGTGTTATTTCACATGACAACTTGCATTAAAGTAAGTAAAAGGACGAGTGCCACGGCCTGGGAAAATCAGACAAGGATAATTATGTCAATCAGTTGTTTTCTTTCTTAGTTTTGTCACTGTGAAGATCCCAGGTAAACTGATTGGTCAATCACTTCGTAACAATCACCTCAATGGTTGATCCCTTTGTGTTTTCTTCATTTATAATTTTAATTTTAAAGTTCTATTTTTACAACCTTTCATATTACTCTAACCTTCTCATCTTTTTGGAAGAAGTACTGAAATATATTGTAATTACGTATGTTAAAACAGGATGAAGAGAATTTTTCAGAAAGCCTAAAATTACTGATAGCTTCTGGTTACCTAGAGAAAGGCTTATTAAATAATCACAATAACAATCACAGTTGTCTTACAACATACAACAGATCCAGGGTGAAGAAGGGACAGAAAACATGTGCCATTTATATCCAGTTCTTAGCTGGGTAGGCAGCAAATGCTTATAGCCAGAAGATTTAGAAGGAAGGCTACTTTGTCTTCCGTCAGTCATAGACCCTCTTGGAACATGTGACAATATCTCATCACAAAACACATCACCCCGCCTGTCTGCTCACAAATGAGTCCAGTACACCTCTTCACCTCGCCTTAAAGGCCAAAGTCCTTGCAACAGCCCAAGGGCTCACACCGCGGGGCTCCCGGGCCTGAGCCGTTCATTTTGTCTGTTCCCCTGCAGCCAGAGGCCTTTCTGTTCTTCCTTAAATGTGCCGGCCAGGCACCCACCTCTCCAGTGCCTTTGTGCTTGCTGCTGCCGTTACCCAGAGCACTCCTCCCAGGGTAAACCCCAGTGTATGCTGCATCTTTCCTTCAAGCTTTTACTCAAATGGCCCCCTCCGAGATAGCTCTGCTCGGACCATTTTATTTAAAACTGTCCCATCCTTCTGAGCTCCTGCTCTGGCCCGATGTGGTCTGTCACCCGTGGTTTCGTATGTCAGAGTCTGCTTCCTATGGGAGGTGGTGGGTGGAAGGCTGTGGAGTCTTTAAGAGGCTGGGCCGCGTGGGAGGTCCTGGGGTCAGGAGTGCCCAGCCTCAGAAGGGACTGAGACAGTTTTGCTGGGAACCTGGAAGGCATATGAATCTTCAGGGTCTACAGAGTCCAGAATATGGCAGGGATGAGTAAGCATCTATGGAGTTTCTTAAGTGACAACGAAGTGACCAATGGTAGAAATAAAGAATTTACAAACTGAACCAAGCTGAATTTATACATTTCCAGAAAACAGAAAAAAAGGAAACAATTTAAAAATGACAACATTTCAAAATTTTGAAAATTGAAAAAGAAACAGATGTCTCTGGATCACTCCACCACCACTCCAATTTAACTCCATTCACTGCCAGAACAAGGACACAGGACAGCACCATGACAAAATCCCTTCACACGAAGGGGCCAGGTGAAGCCACTGGACTATCAGTTAGAGGACATAATAAAAGAGAACAGTAAATTCGTATAAACTGCAAGAGTCAACCAATCAAGCAGGCTCTGGAGAAGAAACTGCTTTAAGATAAAAACAGGCACATACCGAGGGCAGGTGGCAGATCAGCGTGAAGACAGGAGGGCATCTAGCTGTGCAAACACTGACATGAAGGATGGCAGAAGGAACAGGGAGCGGGAAATGCAGCTGCAACAAGCAGGCTCAAAGTTACCTCAAGGTCTCTAAGGACTGACGTCGGAAGGAACTTCCTTTCTCTCATTCCTTATGACCGAGTGTAAGAGCGGCACCTTAGGACAGTTTCGGTTTTTGAAATGAAACTCGATGTACTTTAAACGGACATACCAGCGGGGAGTGGGCCGATTATGAGATGTTATGAGCTAATCATGAGACAAGGTCAAGGGGCCTCACCTGAACCCCAAGAGGCACTCACAGGACAAGGAAGCCAGCTGTGGCTGGGAGCAAGGGAACTCCTGAAGGTGACTCTGCCCCGGCAGAGAGGACGCTGACCACGTGAGCAGTGCGGACAGCCTGAAACCCCAGAGGCCTACCCGACAGGGCGGCGCCCGCCACATGTACTCGGTTCTCCTCAGCTCCCTGAGAGGTGGAAGAACTGGACGCTGGGGCAGCAAAGCTTGTCAGCTGGCTCCTGGTCAAGGACTGCAGACTAGGGATAGTGTGTGGGATGAAAAGTAAGGCCTTACTGGGTAAATCTGGCGGGATCTGAGTTTGCTTGGCTGTGTCAGGACGTACACAAAGGTGAGCATCCTAGCAAGGTGGTGGAGTTGGATCCCATTTCCTGCATCCTTCAGGGAATGAAACTGGTGCACTCAGGGAAATGTAAGACAGCAAGAAGAGAGGAAGGCACAGGAATGTAAGGGGGGATCCCTAGGAATAACTTACCTGTCCATCAACAGGGAGCTAATGAAATAATCATACTACCATACAAGGTAATACTTTGCAGCAGTAAAAAGGAAGAATAAATTAGATATTCTCCAGGGTATGAGATTTGCAGTATGCTACCACTATGGACTAAAAAGCTGGAGGGACACCCACACAAACATATTCCTGCGTGTGTACAGAATAGTTCTGAAAGGAAACAAAGGAGCGAGTATCAGCAGTAGCCGCTGTGGGCTGGGGTGAGTGGGGGAACTGAGAAGTCGGATGGGACCAGCGCTTCTCTTCCCACTGAACACCCTCCAGAGGTGCCTGGGACAGGAGGTGCTCAGAAGTATCTGCTGAGTGATGAAAGGAAAATAAGCTCACTTATCATCTTTCGGGCTATTCATGATATGCATAAAGACTTTGTCGAGAGATACACACACAGAATGGCTCATGTCTTTTATTTTCCTTGACTACCTAAGGACAAGCACGCTAATGACCGGGGAGGTGATCTAGTCACTCACAGGCAGTGCATAACCCCCTCCTGAAGTTAAGCACTGAGAAGGACCAGAGCTCATTACCTCCCAAGGACAGCTGGAGTCCCGAGAGCTGTTCCTCCGAATATTTGGCTCTTTAGGGTGAGAAGGCAATCTGCAATAAAGGTCAGTTATGCTAGAATAACTACAGCTTTTTTTTAAAGTAGTTTGAACAATAGGGGGCCTCAGAGAAGATGAGAATGCAGTTAACTTTTTAAAACATCTAAAGTACTAAGAAAGTATGACTGTAGGAAATCTTTCTTGGCAATGCAGCTACAACAGGGTTTATTCCACTGCACATTCACCAGGCCATCACAGATGGTGTGAGCTAAAACCTCTCACCTGCACCTACTAAATTACAGATCTTACAGAACTGTGCACTAAATAATAAGAAGTAGAAATTTCCACTGACATTCATAATTTCTGGAAATCCTGTGAAATTACCCATAACAGAGTTAAAGAGACTCGCAGGACTCCCAGGTACTAAACATGGACTTTTATTAACTGAACATAAAAGACCCACTCAGTAAAATTAACTTTGCACAGTTTTCAATGAGCATATTTAATATTGGGATTTTAATTATGGGCTGTTTTAAATACGTGAAGCATAGTAAAGTAACTATTTTGAAAAGTTACATTTCCAGTTGGTGAGGAATTGATCCAACTGTGGATGAAAGGGAAACCGGGAGGTTCTGGGTCCTTATTAGGGTCTGGAGCAGCGATGGTGAACCTTTAGAAACTGAGCGCCAAACTGCAACCCGAAACCCACGGGGGGTTTATCGCAAAGTGCCAACGCTGCAATTAGACCTGAACACTGAGGTTTTAGTTTAGAAGAAACAACCCTATATTAACATCTTCCTTTGTCTTAAACGAAATCACAGTTACAGCTTTCAATGATACAAATAGCCCACTGCGGCACACGGGCCGTAAGTTCACCACCACTGGTCCAGAGGATGTGCTAGGCTCCTGACCGGCTCCTCACTCAGACTCTGCAAGAAAGTGTTATTGTTCCTCCCTTTTAAAGATTAAGAAGAGTGAGGCGTGAGGAAGTACAGTTCAGCATGTGAGGTCTATAAACCAGATGGGTCCCACTGCAATCTGAAGCAATGACCTTCCTCTCCTTCATTCTCCTCTCAAAGGGGGCAAGTTATACACGAGGTCATCTTAATCCCAAAGTACACTATTTCTGAATTCTAAAGAGAAACAAATCAAAATAGAAATGTCTTCATATTCAAAAATTTATATTGTCATTCAGTGACACTTTCACCCAGAAAGCCCAACTATTAGAGGGCTACTGGAAAACTAAGTCATTTGAAAGTAAAAGCCCGTTTCCAGGGACTCTGACAAATCCAGAAAGGCTGCTGGACACCAGAGAGTGTGCAGTACACGCCCTCTTCCGTCTCCAGAGACTGGCTCTAACGGACACTCTCTGCATGTCTGAGGAGCAGAGTGAAGATGGACGGCTGCAGAGCCAGCTGCCCAGTCTACCCCAGCTTATCAAACTCTTCCACAACACATCTGCACGATGAATAGACGAGCATGACTGCTACAACCCACGCCCTTTCTGATTTTCACTGGCAGAATCAAGTCCTGCTATGTTGCCTCAAACAGAATTTTCCCGCTCACCTCGCCCTTGGTTTGGGCAAAGTTCCACTGCATCTGCTGGGGCCCACGCGCCTACTGCTGAGCCTGTTCGGAGGGAGCAGCAAAGAGCAGGGCACGTCCCTGGTCTGAAATGAGGGCCCTGGATACGGGCGTAGAGCGAAAGTGCTGTCAAAGCTACCGGTAGAGAGCCAACAATTTTAGGTACTGTTTAGGTTTTAAGTTTATTAAACTGAAAAACCTTGTTTTCAATTTTATTTGTTGGCATGTCTATTCTTCCCACTTGGTTTTCAAATAATAAATTTCAACAGGGGCTCAAATTATTTGCCAAGATGGTCTCTGGTTAAAACAAATATGGTAAAGCCTTGGAGAGGGCTGGGATAACAGAGGTGTCTCATAACACAAGGAGCTCAACTTCACTTCGCTGGTAAAACTCACCCATCATTTAGCCATTGCCTCCTGTCCTCCTCGCAGTCCAGGGGCTGCAACAATAGGTAGGGCCAGTAAGAGTTACTGCAGGCTGACCTAGCAGCATGCACTGCAAAACACGCCAGACTAGGCACAAGTGTACTTCTGTTCAAGGACGTAAGATGCCAAATATCCTATCTGGTCTTCACTCGGGGCTCCTGGAGTCATCGCATCTCAGCCACTACATTTCAGGAAACTTGAGGCAATACCAAGGAAATAAGCACATTTCCAGATGGAAATCTTGCATCCTGAGTCTAGTTTTCTTCATTCTCCTTGGCACACCTGTCCTGCTCTGCTGAATTATGTTCCCAGCAACTCCTTCCCTCCCCTTAATGGCACCAGTAGCCAGCAGGCGCCCTGCACAGAGCACAGGCCTCGGAGAACTGTCTGGCAACAGCAGCTCAGTCATCGCTCTTAAAGAAAATGGCTTCTTTTCTGACCAGCTGAATTTCTTCACCTACAGTTCCTTCAACATTATCCCAATGATAAGTTGTATTTTATGTGCAGGGACTGTACTTTACAGACACCATCTCTTTTGATCCCCACAACACCCTGAGTGGGGAATTATTGTCATGTCCATTTTATAGATAAAGATTTTCAAGCTGGTCAGCAGCAGTGCTAGACTCAGACCCTTGCCCACTTGACAGAACGGGCTCTTTCCCCGCTCACAGACTGCAAGCCTCCACGCACAGCTGTGGCCACCATCACGGCCTCCCACGGAACCACGGTGGGGTCTGGGGCTCAGAGTTGGTTTCAGTGCTAGCTCTGCAGGTACTTCTCAAGTCACTCTCTGTGCCTACATGTCTCCCACGAAGTAGGGACAGTACTGGTGTACCGGAGATCACGTCTGGATTAAAGGAGGACAGTACGCACAAAGGCGGCAGAGTAGTTCCCACCATGTCAGATGCTCAGTAGACATCAGCTTTCCATTTTCTCTTAAGCATGAAATTTCTGACATTTTTGCGGGAATAAAAGGCAGAGAATTTGCGTGCTCATCATATGGAAATAGTTTCAAATCTTTAAACCAATGCCTCTTTCCTGAAAGGTAAACGAAGAAAAGGGAGAAGTGGCTATTCTTTGTTAATAATGATCTCAGTAAAACTATTTTTTCCTCTTTCGCTGATGACACCCACTTTGGTCGCTCAAGGATCTCTGACATCTGATCCATCCCACCAGGATCTCTTACTCTCTGTCATCTCCCACCCTCTGGAAGTCATTTGAGTGTTACTGGATTAACAGTTCAGTGTGAATGAGTTAACATGTGTGCATCTGAAAGAGACGTTTTGTGGGGGCTCTCCCAGGTTTTGCTTACACTGGGTAGTGGTGAAGCCAACTCTTGGTCTTAAAGCTAGCAGGTAAGAAAGCAGCTACAGTCCTCTAGTCTGCACTCAGAGCTCAGGGCGGCTCAGAGCTCAGGGCGGCTCAGAGCTCAGGGCGGCTCAGAGCTCAGAGCTCTGGGAAGGACAGCACCTGGAGTGGGGACTGGGACACCAGCCACATCTCTGGAGGACAGTGGCTGCAATGGCCATAGGGTTCCTCAATTTAGGAGTACAAATACATGTGCCCTCACAGGTGGGAGGGGACAGGGCAACCTCAGTTTTGAAGGCACTTGTCGGGTTAGCATTTGCTGACTATATCATTAAGAAATAAATTTAACATCACTAGAGTACAGAAAGAAAAGTTAGGGCACCAAAGAGGAATCATTATAGTCCATAAAGCTGAATACATCAGGTATGTAAATATATCATGAAGCAAGAAGAAACTGATCTTCTTTATGAAGAATTTAAAAGCAATTACCTATAACATTAATGACAAGAAGAGAAAAAATTGTACCATGTAGTTAAATTCAAGTAACAATTCTTTTAAGGCTACATAATGTTCTAAACGAAAAGTAATTTTAAAAGTTACATCATTTAAAATACATTTTAATAATTTTCAGTTTCAGCTAGCTTCATTTTTACCTTGATTAAGCCCTATTTATCAGTTCTTATTTTTCAAAGGAACTGTTCTTGATTTCAAGTGCTTTTGATGAAAACAGTTGAAAACTATATGAAACGTTTTTTTGCTTTTAACACATTTAGGATGATAAAGTTTTTCATCTTTTTGAAAAATAATCTGTAGCACACTCGAAGTTTCATTCATTATTATGTAACCGTCAAGTTGGCACCCTTCCCATCTAAGTGACTGAATAACATGAGAAGCCAAGGAGAAGCCAGTGGTCTCCCAAGGACAACAAGCAAGACAAATGGAAACTTCTGCAACGTTAAACCCCATTCTCATTATTCTTTTTGTTACGTTACTGGATTGCTAGCCTTCAGTTGAGTCAGAGTTGAAGTCTAGACCTCGATAACTGAACTTCAACAAGGTAAAGGCAGCAGATCACTTGTCTACCACCTGCTCCCCATAACGAGTACCTGTGCACACCGTCTTCCCAGGAGAGTCCAGCGCTTGCTGAGGCCGCTGCTTCTCACCAGGACTGGTGGGCGTGGAGACACTGCCTGCAACAGAGCTTCCATGAGTGGCAAGCAATCTTCCACCAACCACGGAAAAGTGGGCCCCTTCTTTTCAGATCTAACATCATAATAACATCTCCACAGCAGCTGCAGTTGTTAAGTTTCCAGCAGTTTCTTGTGACAAGATGACAATTAGTGAAGAAAATATTTTTGTTGTTGGGATAAACAGAAAGGTAAAGTTTCAACATTCAAATGTACAGCCAGTTAAAACTACTAAACTTGGACACAAGCAGAAGGCTGGGAGTTTTTCGACTTTGATCAAAACCTGATTATGAAGCTGAAGTGGTTAAGCTCGCAACTTTGCAACAGTATTTTTAAAAGCAAGGGACTGGAGCCATGAAGATATTTTTACATTGTAATTTCAAAAGTAGGTTTACTTCATATAAAGTAGTGCATTCTTCTGAAGAATTTAAAAGCGAATTACCACTCCTATCCATAGGGGTGATGTAACGGAACTAGGGGTGTAATCCAGGGGTCTAGAGCTTGCCCAGCACATGCCAGGTGAGAATTCAATCTCTAGAAATACAAAAACAAGAAAAGAGAAAATCCTGCTTTATAGTATAGTTTTACAGACGCTTTATTTTTCTTGTGATTTATCTTCAACTCACATTGATTCACAATGTTTCTTTGCAGCAGGTTTTCTATATTTCAGCTTTTCTATCAATAATTCACGATTTATAAGTACAAATGTACTTCATTCACTGCCAGGCCTCGGTCCCTAGGCCAGCATCTGGTAGTTGCATGATACAGAATTTATTCACTAAACGAGTCAACTATTCACCCCTCCACACTATTGTTTGCTTTCTCCTATGGTGGTGAACCTATGGTATGTGTCCCGCAGCGGGCACGCAGGACCTTCTCTGTTGGCATGTGGGCCAAACTGCCCCAGCAGCAGAGCAGCAGGTAACAGTCGTTTTATCTAAACTAAAACCTCAGTGTTCAGCTTTAATTGCAGTACTGGCATTTTAAGTAGATTTTGGGTTGCAGTTTGGGCACTCAGTCTCCAAAAGAGTTCGTCATCACTGTCCTACGGTTTTGCTGAACACACATACACACAAAGCAAAGCAAAGCAAAGCAAAGCAAAGCAGTAGCGTCCTTGCACTCTATCTCCTATTCTAGCTACAACCCTGTCTCCTTTCCCCTGAGAAAATGTGTTCTTAGTTGTGTACACAGGTGTATGTATTCCCTGTCTCCACTTACTGATGTCTATTCTTCCCTCAAGCCTCTAGAGCCCTTAACTTCCATTATGAAGTACTAAGATGCTACTCAGTCAGGAGTCAGATGGGTGCTTAGCCTATTATCTCACTGGACTCTTCACTAATATTTTGATATTAACATTTCCAGCGTATGGATCTGGAAAAATGAACATTTCTTGCAAGTTCACAAAGCTCATCAGAGCTAAATTTGAACTCAGATCTTTGGCACGAAAGCTGCTCTCCCTTTCTTCTAAACACACTGACTTAGTAAGGTGTTTTGCGATTTATCTCCTTATATGCCAGTCTCCTTCAGTGGCTGGTAAATGCCACAGAATCCGACTCAATGTTAAGAAAATGAAGATGCAATTGGGAGTGCAACGTTTGGGGAACGACAGCTTTTGTGTCCTAAGAGGAATCCGCAGCGTGGCTGTGGAGAGGTGCTAACCACACCAGCACTGAGCCATCGGTAAGGCCCTGACCCTGGAAGGCCAGCCTGGGAGACAGGTGGTTTTCTTGCCCAGCTTCCGGGAAGCCGATCAGGCTGACACCAGAATGCTACTTTTAAAAGCAAAAATAAATAAGCTCCCTGACATTTTAAAGCACTGACAAAGTCGTGGTTTATTTTTCTGACGGGCAGAAATAAAAAAAAATCACTGAGGTCTTTTATAATTTAAAAAATAATATACATTTCTTAAATATTTCCTAACCCAATATCACCTGCTTTAAATACAGAGAACACTGAAAAACATCAAGACTGGAAGAAAAATGCTAAAAGGATTTCAAAATTCCTCATGTGGCAAGTCCTGTACTTTATATGTATCTTTTGATGGGGGGAATTTTCTTTCTGGGGTGGAGAGAGGGCTCCTTCCAAAACAAAAAGACAAATGACGTTATACGTAAGATAGGGGCCATGGTGTGTCTTCGATTCTCCCATTTACTACCAGAGTGAGTCCTCACAAGGTAATAACCTTTAATCCATTCTGCAGTTATGGTACATGCACGACTGTCCCACTGTGCGGCCCGGTACTGTTGGTGGTACAAATGGATCTAATCACTTTTACTGGTCTTTTCACGAATAAAACTAAATCAGAGCCACCCAGCAGCAAGGAATACAAGTTACGGCCCCACCATGGACATATTAATTCTTATGACTTGGCTTCCTCCTTTCAGCAAGAGGTGATTAGACTAGATCAGTGTTTCTAAAAGTACATTCTGCAGAATTTGGGGAGGGGCCCAATATACTTTTTATATTAATATTGAGATTCCATTTGCCTTTTTAGCTGTGTTGACATCTGTGTGCGTTGTAGTGACGGGGCAGAGGAGATGCAGGTTAAACAGATTAAACAATACAATACTTGAAAAATATTTTAAAAATATATAATGCTTCAGCAATTTATTTTACTTAATTTGAATAGATATTCATGGAACATCTCATAAATTATGCTCAAATTGATGACACATACTTCTTTCCAATTTTAGGAAATGTTATCACAAGATTTTCTTTGTGGTATAACTTGCAAATAACAGAGAACCTTCTTAAAAGCATTTAGAAAAACATTCAAAATCATTATAAATTATTTTATCAAAACCAAAATAATTCTAAGTTGCTCACTTTCATGTAAGTTGAACACTGAGTTTCTCTAAACATTTTTAGGATTTCAATGCTAATTAAAGACAAGAAAAATATGTTGACCATTAAAAGCATTATTAAATTTATGGATTTCTACTCCTATTAATATTGCACCTTTAAAACAAAACTGCCAACCCTACATTTTTTGCTTGCATAACATCCTAAACATTCCTGTCAAACAACTTGGTTTTTTATTCCCACTCAATTCATCACACCAACCATCTGCATAAATAAAGATGTAAGCATCTGCTGTATGGCAAATGGTCTCAGGGGCAGATGTTTCCATCCTAGTCTCCTGTCACTGGGGCTGGATACATTATTTGAACAGATGTACACAATCTGAAAGTGTTGTGTCCCACAGTGAAATGTCTCCAACTGCTTTCTATCAAAGTACATAAATGCTATTTGCACCTGCATTTATGTTAACAATATAAAGGCAGCAGGGGTTCCGACAAAGTGAAATGTGATGCTATGAAATATATTTACATGGGTAATTGGAATTTCTGAGAAACTATGCTGCCAAATAGTCACAGTGACACCGATACATGCCCCTGTAAACTGTCTGACCAGCAACCACTTTTTAAGTACTAGCGGTCATTTCACACAAAAAATTACAATCTGAATTAACTAATAAGAATATTTTAAATCTAATATTTCATCCCAAAATAAAATAACTTAGGACAGTCCACTTGATAAGTTTTAGTTTCCATTCTGCTTTACAAGGCTATTCCTATAGGTAGGTGTGTTTCCCATTTATTCTTCTGTCAACAGCATACAGTACTAATAACACACAGTGGTATTTTGCAGAAGTTATTACATCGGAAAGTTCCAATTTCCAACATTAAGGAGTTAACCAAAACCATCTTGAAAATGTCAATTTGTACTTGGTCTGCAGCATGAAATGGTACCAAAAGTCCAAGCACAGCAGTTACACCACTTGTTAAGATCAAAATGTTTCCATATGAATTTCACATATTCGGAAACACAGTATCTTGGTAATACATGAAGAACAATTTTCCCCTCAGTAATAAGGTCACAAAGCAATGCTAGCCATTGAAGCAAAGCATCAGATTACAGTGGTTCTCCTTGCTACTGTGCATTACATGTGAAGGCTGAAGAGCCAAAGAACTTAACAACTGGTTTTCTTTGTAGCTTTTACTAAGCCAAGAAGCCATGGTCATTTTCAATAACACATGTACTATTTTGTTAATCTGAAATGTATAATAACAACTAATACTCAAAATCATTATATCTGAGTTAATGTTACCCAACATAATTTATATTCTGCAAATCATCCTGAAAGTTTTGTTTTCAAGAAGGGTGCATATATACTCATATAGCCTTGATTTTCTTAACTCAAATATGCTCTATTTGCAAATTTGGCTATTGCTAAAACTTACTATAACTCCAAATCCAATACTCAGGGTGTTTTCATGGTCATTCATGGACTGTACAGAGCAGAGACAAATCTGAGCAGCCGGCACACACCAGTTCCAGCTGAGGTCAAATGAGGTGGAACTCTGGTTTCTTGCTGGCTTTAACTCTCACACTGTCAATAAAACAGTCCTTTGCATGTTCACTTAGTGCCATGTTTTTTGATTTTTGTGCTTTCTCTTGTGATCTCACCTCTCAGAATGGCCTTCAAGAACAGTGCTGAAGTGTTATCTGTTGTTCCAAGGCACAAAATGTCTATGATGTGCATATGCAGAAGATATGTGCGTGAGATGACCTCTGCTCAGGCACACGCTATGTGTTGAGTTCAATGTTAACGAATCAGCAGTGCACATCCAATTACATGTCTTTTAGCAGAAATGATGCATGAAACAAGACTATGTATCGACTCTTGCCAAGAATACTGCCAAGAGTGCCAAGGGGCCTACTTGCGGCTTGTGTCTAGATGCACCCCCAAAGCCTCATGTGGTCACACGTTTAAGATGTGTGTGGGTGTGAAACTGACAAAGCATGGACTTTGTTTGTTTTAAAATTTATTTATTTTCTTTTATTTTAAAGAGTAAAAGAAGGATAACATAGTAATGGGGGGGTTACCAAATTACAGACAAAGTGGTAGGAAATTATCAATGGTTATTGTTTTACATATTGTTATCTACAAGGTAGTTTCTCAGGAAAACAAATAGACAAATAATAGTGAGTTACAGACA